AACTAAATAAACATTAAAAAAAATTACAAACCACAGACTGGGAGAAAATCTTTGAAAAACACACATCTGTAAAAGACTTGTATCTGAAATATCCCAAAATCTCATAACACTCAACAGTAAGAAAACAAACAGCACAATTTGAAATTGGGGAAAAGATCCAAATTAGATACTTCACCGAAGACAAATACACCTGGCAAAGAAGCATGTGAAAAGGTGCTCTACATCATTTGTCATGAGGGAACAGCAGATTAAAATGAGATATCACTACATACCTATTAAAATAGCTAAAACTTAAAACCTGACAATACCAGTTGCTGACGAGGATGCAGAGCAACGGGCACTCTCATTCATTGTTGATGGGAATGCCAAAGGGTCCAGCCACTTTGGAAGACAGCTTGGCAATTTCTTATAAAGCTGAACGTAATCTCACCATATGATCCAGCTAAGCATGCACCTTGGTATTTACCCAACTACTATGCATAATTATGTCAACACAAAAACATGCATGCATTTAGAGTAGCTTGAGGCATAACTGTCGGAAACTGGAGATGCCCTTCAAAAGGTAATGGGTAAACAAACTGTGGAACATCTATCCAATGGACTTTTATTCAGAGATTTAAAAAATGAATTAAGCCATAGACGGACATGGAGGAACCTTGAATGCATATTGCTAAGTGAAAGGAGCCAGTCTAAAAAGGTTACCTAATGTATGATTCCAACTATATGACATTCTGAAAGAGGCAAAACTATAGAGACAGTAAAAAGATCAGTGGTAAACTGGGGCTCAAGGGAAAGGGAGAGCGTTGAGTAGGTGAAGCACAGGGATTTTTAGAGCTATGAAAATTATTCTATATGAGAGTGCAATTGTGGATACATAACATTATTGATTTGTCAAAATCCATTGAACTTTAGAGCACAAAAAGTGAACCCTGACATCTACAAATTTTTAAAAATCATGTAGGTCAGGGGAATCGCAAGATAGAATGCAGAATGTGACCAAACAATCTAACCATGTTACAAATTTGTGAAACAAACATACTGGGAGGGGGTGGGGGTGCAGACCTAAGTAACTTGGAAAATGAGTGGGGTCTATAAAACTAATGGCAAACAAACATGCATAATCACTGCTGTAGTTGGGAATGTTGTTTTCCCTGGGAGCACAGGGTAACGATTCTGAAATCATGTATAATGGGTTTAAACGATTCAAGTAAACAGGGAGCAGATGGTGAGGGCCAGGCTTCTTAGCATGGGAGTAGCAGTTTGCAGATTAGCAAAGGGGAGGTGATTAGAATGATTTATGTGGTGATGGATGGAATGTCGGTATGAACTCATGTTTCACGTAATAGAGATACGGCAGTTACGTACAGATATGTTTATACATGTGTGTATACGCACAGGTTCGTGTTCGCACATATATTCCCTCGCTCTGTCAGCTAAAGGGGCCTCCAAGCCACAAAACCCCAGCAGCGCTGGGGCCGAGATCCTGGTTTCTAATACCATTCTTCAAGAAAAGGAACCAGGTTCCCTGGAGAAAAGCCCGATTCTAGGACTGAGGAAGGAAATATACACGATAAGCCTGGCACATCTCGCAGTGCCAGAAAGTAAGGAAGTGCTTAAAACAAAACCAAAAAATCCACAACAATGGGAGTGTATCAAAGGGACACGGGAGTCCAGTGAAAGAGCTACCAATGTCCAACACTGGGACAATTTCCACCTCAAAATAGTGTTGCATGGCAATCCAAAGTATAAAAAAATATATATCTGAGAGTCAAAACTTATATAAATGACTGCATAAATTAATAAAGGGGAAAGAAGAAACTCAGCTCCCCTGCAGAAGAATTCCAAATAATTTATGTAGATACTCCATCCTCAAGGAGGAGGAGCAGAAGTCCTCATTCTCTAAGTGTGGGCTATGCACAGCAACTTCCTTCCAAAGAGGCGGGCATGGGAATGGGGAAAAGAGTCACTTTCTCCACTTTCCAGTGGAGAAACCTGACAAACACTAACTTAGGTGATCAAGAATAACATCAACAGTGGTAATCCAAGTTCCTAAATAGGTACCCTTGATATGATAACACCAGCAGGCGTAATCCCAGTGTGATGGTAAAAACATTGGACACATCCCTATAGAGGAATATTTACCAAATACCTGGCCAGTATCCCTCAAAGCTGTCAAGGTTATCAGAAACAAGGGACAGTATAAAAAACTGCCACGGCCAAGGAAAACCTAAGAAGACATCACAGTTAAATGTAATGCAGTAGCCTGGCTGGAATCCTGGAACACATAAAGGATCTTAAGTAAAATCTGAAGAAACTTGAATATTAACTGTGGTTTATAATAATGTATCAATATTGGTTCCTTGATTGTATCAAATGTCTCATGGTAATATAAGATGTTAGCAGTAGGGGAAACTGAGCATGGGGTATGTGGGGGCTCTGCACTATCTTCCCAATTTCTGTATACATTTAAAAGAGTTCTGAGAAATAAAGTTTATTTAGAAAATATCGTCTTTTAAAAAGAGGTAGAGGAACTGTTTAAAAGAGATAGAGGGGCGCCTGGGTGGCTCAGTCGGTCAAGTGTCCGACTCGGCTCAGGTCATGATCTAACAGTTTGTGAGTTCAAGCCCCATATCGGGCTGTGCTCACAGTGTGGAGCCTGCTTGGGATTCTCTCTCTCCTTCTCTCTCTGCCTCTTCCCAAGTCGTGCTCACTTGCTCACTCTTCTCTCAAAATAAATAAATGCTAAAAAAAATAAAATAAATAAGAGACTCGAGAGATACACTAACCAATGTAATTTGTGAACGTTGATGGGCACAGCTATGGAAGTCACTCTAGGGACATGTGGGGAAATGTGAATATATTAGATGGTTCACCATTTTCTTCAGTGTGAAGTTGTATCATGGTTAAATGGGAAATGTCCTCATTTCTTATAGAAATGGCACACTGACATATTGAGTTTGTCATGATGTCATGAAGTGTGATTATGAAATCCAGTTTCCCATGAACCATTCAGGAGAGAACAAAAGCAGATGTGGTAAAATATTAGGAATGGTGACTCTAAATGAAATGTACATGGGCATTCCTAGTATTCTTTCATGTTTCCCATAAGTCTGAAATTTTTCAAAATAGAATTTTAGAAAAATATCAACAGGATTCTAGAAATGGAGCAAATGATACTAATGTCCATCTGGAAATATAAACATGCATTAATAAGTAGGAACAATCCTGAAAATAATAATAATAATACAGTGTGGACTAGCAAGGCCAAATGTGAAAGTGGATAGCAACTTGAAATAATTAAAAGACTGGTCATTTTTGGAACAGACTTCAGAGCTCAGAAACAGATCTCAGTATATACAGAAATTCAATGTATGAATGAAGATGGCTTTTCTAACCAGTGTGGGGGGGAAATAGTCAAAAAATGGAGCTGGGATAACCACATAGCTATTTGGGGAGAAAAATGTTGAATCCTTACCTCACTTCTTCTACCTAAATAAAGTCGAAATGAATCAAAGGTTTAAAGATTAAAAAAAACTTAAAAGTCCTGGAAAAATACATTAAATTTATTCTTAAATGTCAAGAAGGCCTTTCTAAGCAAGTCATGAATCCCAAAAGCCATAAAGACTGAGAAGTTTAACTACATAAATAAGTAAATAAATAAGTCTCAGGAAAATATTGTTAAACATATGACAATGGACCAATTTTCTTAGCTTACAAATAGCTCATACAAATCAATAAAAAACAAAGCATCTAGTAGAAAACAGAACATCACCACACAGTTCACAGAAAATGAAATATAAGTAACCAATAAAAACATGAAAATGTGTTCCACAGCCTTCGTTAAAATGCAAGATAGCTAACGTAAAGTGCAAGGTATCACTTATTCAGTTTCAGATGATCAGATGTTTAAAAGTTTAATACCAAGCAACGGCACAGGCCTTGGAAAGAATTATCCTTATACATTATATGTGGGAGAATAATGAGGCAAAGACTTCTGGAGAACAATTTGGCAATAACTACTTAACTGAAAATGAAAAATAGCCTTTGACCTAGCAATCCTCTTGCTAGGAATTAACCCTGTGGGTATAATCTCATCATATGTACAAGTATGCTCACTGGAGTATGGCTTAACTGTAGTAAAATACTTAAAACCTGAGATTCCCATCAGTGTTTCAACATTGGTAACACATTCATACATTGGAATGTCACACAGTCATTAAAAAGAATGAGGTATTTCTGTATAGCCCGATACAGAAAGATCTTGTAAGACACAGGGAACAAAAATAGCAAGATACAGAAGAGTGTATACAGTCTGATTCCATTAATGTAAAATTTTTAAATATAAATTTGCTGGCAAATAATGTTTTCCCCAAACAAATACACATGACGCTTGAAGCTGGTTACCTCTGGAGAGAGGCATTAGGCACGGGAGGGAAGGGGGCAAGTTTTAATGTCATACTTTTCTGTAACATCTGATTGTGTTTTTGCCACATGCATATATCTTTATACTTGATTTGTAGGTTATTTTGGCGTATTCCTGGGTAGAATTGAATACTGGTAGTGCTATTTTTCAAAATACTCCAGATGAGTGCCAAGTTTTACAAACCAGAACTTCCCCCCTGGATTTTCATCAGACTCCAGATTTGCCCCAATGCTTTAATCATGATTTCCTTTTAAGTATAAAATTATAACAGATTTGTGATGGAATGATTGGACACTGCTACTCAGGGACTGAAATTCTGATTCTCCAAAGGGCGTTTGATAATTTATAAAGGAGATTACACATCGTCTTTCGACTCTAAAAAAAAAACAACATAAAATTGTCATTAGACTTTACATGTACAAGAAAAAGTAAAGTATCCATTGAATTTAGTAAAACAGCATCACACTGGGGGGAAAAATACAGTCATAAAATTATCTCTTACATTTTTCTGGAGACAGAGAAGCAGAAGAGAACGAGATTTAAAAAACAAAACAAAAACAAAAACCACTACCAAAAACAGGGTGAGACAATCATTTATTTATTGGACAGGGCAAGGTCATTTAAAGAGAGGAAACATATCCAAAAGAAGGTGTTTAGCTTGGTGTTACAGGCATTGATGTTCAACAACAAACAACACTACTCAATACATCATGGAAACAGGCCACATACAACCAGGGAGATGCGGTCATGCCACTCAAAAATAAGCCACAGAGCCTAGGGAGCAATCATTAGGGAGTTACAGAGCGTCATGGTCTCCAATCCGCCGACCTGCATTTTCTGTGGCTGGGACATCGGCCCATAGCATTTGGCTGGTTCCCTGGGTTATTGAGAAGTGTCTTGCTAATATTCTAGAGAGCCTTCCATATTGAGTGCGCGCTTCTGAACGTCCCTAAAATGGCAGTCACCTGCAGGCTTAACTAGCTGACGTCGCTTCGTTTTTGGACTACCCTAGGTAGTGACGGACAGTCTCAAAGCATTATAATTCTGAATTTAATCCACTTAGCACTGTTACGATGCATCCAAATCATCTTTAGTCCTATGGTACATACTTGAGAAAGAAAACAAATTCATCGGAGGAAAAGTGAAGAAGAAATTTGGGAAGCTCATCTGGCTTGAGGTATACACACCTGCCAACAAAGTTAGACGCACCTGAAAACTCTGTCAATTGTCTGCCAAATAATTAGACATGATTTTTACCAGGACTTTCCTGACTGGGCAAAGATTTCAATATCCATTCTAGAGACTAGCCAAAATCTTGTAAACAGTGGTATATCATGAGTGATTGATTACGAGGAAAAACTAGTTAGCCTAAAACTGGCTAAAAAAAACAAAACAAAACACACACATGATTAAGTGTCTGGGCCTCTAGTCACATCCGCTGAGTTTACCAACTGCTTCCTTCCACAGAAATCACAGTTCTCGGGAGGAGAAGCTCTCACTCCATGTACAACAAAACTATACTTGGGAAGCCAGTCACTAAAGACCAGACATTGTACGAATCCACTCATATTAAATGACCAGAATAGGCAAATCTATAGAGGCAGAAAACAGATTAGTGATTGCCCGGGGCCAGGAGGCCCCGGGAGGCGGGGTGGGGTATGAGAGGGGCCTGCCAAAGCACACAGGGTTTCTTTTGGGGGTGACAGAAATGTTCTAAAATTCACTGTGGTAGTGGTCGTACAACTTTGTGACTATATTACAAAACCACTGAGCTGTAGCCTTGAAATGGCAGACTTGAAGGTAAGTGAATATTAAAAAAGGAAGACAGCCCCCAAAGAGAAGAGGCGAGACTCTTGCAAATCAAGTCATACCTGAGGAAATGGTAGACAAGCCTGATATAAGGAGCTGGCTTCTCCTACGCTATTTTGATTTAATTATTGCCGCATTAACCCCTGAATTCCACTGTTAACTCATTTCTGAATGATTCTAGGCCATCAGCAGATTTCTAACTTTGTTCTCCTTAGAGAGCAGAGTCCGTGTTCCACAGACAGACTGGCTTGGCCAAACAAAACTAAACAACAATAAAAACTCAATGACAAAACAATCTCGTGCTTTGGGGCTGTGTGTTACCAGACAGAAGAGAAGAGCTGAGGTTCGTTTCTAATGGGAGAGATGCCATCAGGCACCAGGGCACCTGGAAATCATATTTCCTTTTCAAATCTGCACAGTTATTCCCTTTGCACCTATACAACTCAACAAAAGCAATGTTTTCATACCTGTACAGTTACAGTTCAACAAAAGCCACCTTCTCTACAAAAAAATGTTACGCTCCCTGCAGATCAAAGAGCCAGCCAAATTTCCCTAGACCTAAAAGTACTGTTTCTAAAAAAAAAAAAAAAAAAAAAAAAAGTCTGCTCTGTACCTTCATCCTCACCTTCAGCAGCATACAACAAAGATGGAAAACTCTAAGCCTGCTACAGATCTGAAGCTATAAAACAATTTCTTAAATGACCCTAATTGTTTTTAATTAAAGAGATTAGTTCCAAATATTTAAAATATATTTGTCCGGAGGCCTTTGAACTCGACCTTGAGTGAGAACGATGAGAACTTTCCTCTACTTTTACTAATTCGCTAGTTGAGTCTTTGAATAAGTTAAACTGGCTAATGGCAAGTCAGCGGTTTTCCTCCGTGACTGCTATTCTTCTACACAGGCAGGATAATAGATGAAATCATGAATGGTCATTTTGGTCTATCTGCAACTATCCTTAAGCTACGTAATCGGTTAGGGAAATTTCTGACATATAGATGAAGAGAACACAAGTAGCTTTACGGCAAGTTGAATTTGTTAAACCTATTTATGACAAAGAATTTCGGACACAAGAATCGCTCACTGCACACAGAGCCCCAGAGAAGTGATGGCACAACACAGCTGACGTGGGAAGGTGCACGGGAGCAGGGCGGGGTGAGAAGTCGTGAGAAATTAAAAACTGGCATGTGTCTGCTGAGGCAGAGCCACTGTTTGGGGGGCATAAGAAAAACTGAGAAGTCACCATTTTGGTCTCTTGAGAGAAGTCTATTTGCTGTTAAGAACCGAAGACCTGTTTGCTATCATTCATGCTGCAAAATGCAGTAGTCACATTATTGCCAAAAGGATCCCAAAACTCAAGTGCAAAAGAAAAGAAACCTAAGAAAATAAATAGTTACAAAATCATCAACATTTTTCAAAGAAATGTGTTCAAAACAGTGACTTTTACAAAAGATATGGATTTCTTTTAAATGGAAAAAAGAATTCTATGAAAGATCAAAGACTCATTTCACAGATAACTTACACTCCATTAATGATTTGATAACAGTGTACAAACAAGGGCCATAGACTCTTTTTAATTATGTCTGAAAAATCAATATAATATAAATACTGATGATGGGGGGAGTGTTTTATACCCCAAACTCCAATATTCCAGCTCTGTGTCCTGTCCTGTTATTATAATTTGTAAAAATCTTAACGACGCAGTGATTCAAGTTTTCGTAACTTCAACGATGTATTAGAGGACAATGCATCTTGATTTGAGGAGTTTGTTGTATCCGAAGGCCGGAACAGCACTCGACCACGATGATTAAATACATAAAATGATGGGTGATTCCTTAATGTGTCAAATGTCCTTCAAAGAAAAAACAAAGAGCATCCACTTTAGATAAACCTGTAAAAAGCCTATTTGAAAACAAGCAGGCTTCTAATGAATTATGAATTTGCTATGGGCTATAGTCTTAACTAAGTTTAAATCCATGAAATCAGGCTATAAACGGTAAACATACTGTGTCTCATTTTTTTCCTGCACAAGGAAAAGAAGAAGCCTGGAAAGGCAACATAAAGCCCTCAAACGTTTCTTTCAGCCATTCCTATGAATAATAGCACAAATCATCGCTCAACTTTAATCACATCTATAAATCTTACCCTAGCTAGCCATGCCAAACAGTCTTTTAAAAAACCAGTACACAGATTGTACCTTTGATTATTCTCATTTGGCCCTCACCACTCAAGCAATACGATCATTTCACAGATTTGTTTCCAAGAATCTTTCAAGTACAACAAAAAGCTCCTTTTGGCCCTTCTGTACCTTCTGTTGTCCAAACTCATACATTTTGCTACCACCTACTAAATTTATATATTTTGCTACCACCTACTTAATGCCATTCTGTTTTACTTCTTTCCTGGCCTTTTGCCTGCAATTCTTGGTAGACTCTTTGTAAGAACTACAGTGGGTGGTGATAGTAGAGTATCCTTTCTTCTTTCCCAGTGAGATAGATAGATAGATATATAGAGAGAGAGAGAAAGAGAGAGAGAGAGACAGACAGACAAAGAGAGAAAGAGAGAGAGAGAGAGAAAGAGAGAGAGAGAAAGAGAGAGAGGGAGAGAGACTAAAAAAGTTTGCAAACACCTATGTATGGCTTTTAGTACTGGCTTGTTTAAACATTATTTTCCTGGACAAAGGAGGACTCTGCCTTGATAAAAACTCAAATCTCAAAGTCAGCCCACCGAAAACTCCAAGCATACTCCCACGTAAAACAGGAATCCCGAGATGTGACTATTTAAAATATAAATTGAAAAGTAAAAGTAACAAGGGGGTGGGTTTCCTCTAACAAATAAATGCTCATTGCGAATCCTTCTAAGGACACATTGTAAAGGGTTAAAATTTCTAGGCTCAAGAAGGTGGGTGAAGTCCGGAGATGGAATTGAACAAAGGTAGAAGGATAATTTCATGAAAGTAAGAAATATGGAAAAAAAAAAAAGCAAGCAAAGCTCAAGAAAATAGCTTAGAAGAAGTTCAAGAGAAAAGGGAAAGCAAAATAACGAATATACTATAGTCCAGAAAAAGGAAAGGGCCAGAGAACAGAGTTTATGTCAGACTAGGTTCAAGGGATAGAGGGAAAGAGAAAACCCCTATTCTTCCAAAGACTAAGCTGGGATAAAAAGGGGGGAGGAAAGGAAGGAAGGAAAGAAAGGGAATGAAAAATGAAGGCTGAAAGGACAAAATTTCTGAGGGAATATCTTCTATATGTCTATTTCCCTCCATCCACCGAACCAATAAATAATTGTAAGCAAATGTAACAGGACCTCTCAGTCTAATGTCAATAATCTGTCATTCAACTTCCATTTTTCTATCTTATCAAACACTGCCTTGGTATTTTGACCTCACTACTCACACGGGCTGCATAATCGAAATGTAAAAACAAAAGCAACTTTTATGCACCAGAAAACATACATTTAAAATTATGTAAATGAAGCAAAACCCCTGTGAAACTAAATGCCTATGAAAACGGAAAGACTTACTTATTTTTTAGTTCTGAAGTGGCATCCATGTCTTTAAACTCCCCTGCAATATGAACTATACCATAACAGGTAACTGCAAAGGCCAGAAGTGTCTGAAGAACTATCTGTGAGTATAAAGATTGAGATTATCAAATAACATACAAACAGTATCATAAACATTTGCAATTTTCTCTCCATCTCTTTTTAGCCTCTGAGAGGTATTTCTCCCAGGTGAATTCTCCCTTTAAATGATTTGAACTCAGACACACCAAAATCTTCTATAAATTCTGTGGCTCGGCTACAAGCATACTTCTGGGTCTTCTCAAATAGCAAACAGGTACTTAGCCATTCAGAACTCAGTCATCAACGACTACCTGCTAGCAAGAGCAACTAAGAATTTTTAAATGTATTACTGTTAAATATCATTGAGTATAAAAAGAACACCCCTGACCCAGCACCCAGCTTAAGAAAACTACCAGTGCCTTTCAAGTCCCACGTGTCCCCCTCCAATTATATCCTTCACCCTCTCCTCAAAGGTAACTAGTGTACTGAACTGTAAATTAATCAGTTCTTGGATGCTTTTCTTTATAATTTTACCAGCTATGTATGTACCTCTAAACTGTATAGTGCTTAGTTTCCCCCCCCCATTTTTGGACTTTCTTGTGAGAGTCACCCCTGTTGTACTATATAAATGTAGCCCATTCATTCTCATTGTGCTTTATATTTTATTATATGAATATACCACTATTCATTCCACTGTTGGTGGCTATGGGGGCTGTTTCCTGTGTGTTACTTTTATAATGGCAATATGGATTTCCTGGTGTATGTCTCCTGGTACACGGGAGTAGAATTACTGGAGGAGAGTATATACACGTTCAACTTTATTAGCTAATACCAAAGTGTTTTCCAAAGTGGTTGTGCAAACAGAAGCTTGCAACGTTTGATATTAACCAACATGGGATTATAGGCACATCTGATCTTCTTGATTGTGGTTTTTCTGTATTTTTCAAACTTCCCAATTTGTAAACAGCAGCAAGGTATCTTAAACAGACATAACTGATTACCTGTGTGGTGTGTGTGTCGGGGGCGGAGGGGGGAGGTAACCCACCACAAAGCAAAGGTGATGGCAGAGTGGGTTACCAGGCTCGTCTATTGTTAACTTTCATTACAGACAACTAAAGTCAGAATTAGCCACAAGCTATTACTCTTAACTTTCTAAATTAAAACTAATGTCACATGTTATACCAATTTACATCCCCCCACCAGTGTACCCAGACCTAGTTCAGACAATGCAGTCATAGGCACCATTAACAAGAATGTGGTAAATCAATGAGCTATCATGAAATTATGTCACAATAAACTGTTAAGTAATAAAAAGCTAATTATAAAATTATACAGATATACACACAGATAATAACTTTTTAAAAGAAAAACCGTTTCGATTAGGTAAGACCATACATATGTAAATAAAGATAGTACTGTCTGTGCACAGGAAGAGGGCTTGAACCACTGACATACTCCAAACTGTCAGGAGTAGAAGCACAATTGCTGAGCAGTGGGGTCCCTTGTCTTTTTTATTGTGTGGGGCTGGTTTTACTTTTTACACTGACTGTTTGATTCTGTTACAAAGGAGTTACCACTGTGCCATTTACAATCCTTTAAAGATAAAAACTGTGAGTGAAACTCATGTATCGTTTTAGCTTAAAAAAAACATGTGTTTTTATTTACTTTACCACCTATGTATATGTCCCTAAACAATGTTTTGTTACTTTTTCTTGTTCTTAAACTTTACATAAAAAGGAACTTTGCTAAAAAACGAAGTCAAATAATCAACTTTGTAAGTCCGTCCCAGACTACAGAGAAACTTCTAGAATGACTATTTAAACTACAGTTCTAGAAACCAAACACAGAAATCTTTTGTTCCCAAATCTTCGGATTTTACAACGAGTGACAAAGAGTAGAGAACAGATGTTACTTCATGTCTGGAAATTTTTATAAGAATAAAAACCAGTAAAAACTTATTATAAGCTATGTGGCTAATTTTTAAAATATATTTTAACGGAATATAAATGACCAACTTACATCTATTGGCAGTGATTCATCTTCCTTTTCTGTTAATCGCATATAAGAACGATCTATAAACCAGAAGCATACCATTAAGGAAATTGTAGCCCATTTTTCTTTCTTAAAATGCAAGCAAATCAATACACCAAAGCAGTGGCTGACTTATGTGCTACATAAAGCAATGCTAATCCCGGATTCCTCAAAAACCTCTATCTTCTAAGGCAGTCAGCCTGATCTTGAACTATTTTATTTTCATCACGACCTGCCTTGTCACCTTATAAAACACGGTAAGAGTGAAAGGTGAACAAGTACAAGGAAGAAATACCTAAACATATTTTTTTTCTTTCAGCACTATAGGGAAACTAGAATCCTCTGAAACGGTTTCTTTCACTAACTGGTCAAAGAAATCACAATTATTTAAAAATGAATAAGCCTGCAGAAAATCTCAACTCTGAAGCAGCACCGCCATCACACAGTATGGACAAAGGAATACTGGTAATGGATAGGTTTTGCTCCTGACAAAGTATGTTGGAGCGGTGGTGGAATAGGTGAAATTCCTGGACACCCATTTCTGCCTCTCCGATTAAATTATAATTCTGCTGCTGCCTTAGCCTCAGGAAGCAGCAAAGTATGAAAGAAAAGGATCAGGATTTGGAAGCTGATAAGCCTGGATCATAAAACCAGCTCCTCAACTTACTGTCATTGAAGTTTATCTCATCCAACCTAAGACATCCATCCCCATGAGTTGTAACACGCATGGATCTCAATTTCAGAGTGTTAAAATGTAGGACTGGGAGGGAAAGTGGGTCTGAGAGTCAAAGGAACACAGTATATATTTTTCAACCACCCAAGTTTCCACAACAGCAAAATGGGGATAATGGGGAGATTAAGTGAGATACATGATAGCCATTCTGCCATAACAAAGCTCATTACATACAGCAAAGAAGGGCACGCCACAGTCCGGTGGTATGCTCTCCACTGCTACGCTCGGACAGGACACGATTAGCGTCGAAGGTAAATATTAGTCTTTCTGCAACATAAGCAGTATAAAGAGGCCCCACTGCAGTGACAAATGCCACGAGGCATTCTCATCTCAGCAGAAACACAAGTTCCTAACTCGAGAGAAACCTTGCACGAGCCCTATTTAATAATGTGCCGTGGAGTGAAAAACCCACACTGCTGGGAGGGAACGCGTAGTGACCCTTAGAAGAGTGCGTTTAGAGACATTTCTCAAGTTTTATCTGATGGGTTTAATACGAGGACCGGTGTAAAAGAAACATCAAGCCAATACCAAAAATAGGTTTGGCTAGCTTCCTACTGCCTCTTCAATTCCCAGCCAGCTTCCTTCTTTGCATGAAGCCTAATCTGACTCTAACACTACCTTTAAGCAGACCTTCCCTCATATGTAAAACTGAGGAGTTGGACTTACTTCCGTGATCTCCTTGCTCCAGGACTGCTAAAATCCCACAGCGGAAGCCACTGTACATACTGACGCAGTACTCGACAGTACCCTAATCTCCTCTACGGTAGCGCTTCTCAAAGGACTGTGCAGACAAATCATCGGAGGATCTTCTTAAAATGCAGATTAGGATTCAATAAACTCTGGGGCAGGGCACATTTCTGCGTTTCTAGCAAGCTCCCAGGTGAGTCCTTTGAGGCTGGTCTGTTAAACACACTTGGGCAGCCAGGCTCTGAGATACTTCCCTTAACCTCCTTCCTTGTCCCCCCTCCCCGCCATCTCTAAGCATCCTTACATACTTTTAGCATAGCATCTATATTACTTTATTGTCATTGTTTATTCATCCATTTGTTTCACCACTTGACTTTGAACTCCCTCAGGGCATCGCTGTACCTCTAGCACCTAAGCACAGCGCAATTTCAACCAATTACACGAAACTGAATTTCATAAAGCGGTGCAGCACACAGGCTCTAGAGCCCAAATGCTTGTGTTTGAATCCTGACCCCGCCATTTATCATCTCTGTCAGTTTGTACCAATTTCCTAGCTATGTGAGTCTCAACTTCTTCATCTTTCAAAAGTGATAATAACAACAGCTACCTCAACAGGGCTTTGGGTAGGACTGAATTATATAAGGCACATAAAGTGCTTAGTTCGGCGCCTGGCACATGGTAAGCACTTCATAAACGTTAGCTATTATTATTGTTATCATTAAAGATTGGTGTTTTGGAGAAACTGTCACAGAATAGAGAAGACTGCGGAAACATGACAACCAAACGTAATGTAATACCTGGAGTAATTCCTGGAATGGAAGACCTTATTGGGAAAACTTGTGAAATCCAAATAGAAGCTAGACTTTAGTTAATAGTAATATACCAATGTCAGTCTCTCCATTGTGACAATATACCACGGTAATATAAGATGTTATCAACGTGGGAAACTGGGTGGAAGGGTATACAGTAACTCTACGATCTTTGCAACTTGGCTATAAATCTAAATTTTCAAAATCAAAATGTATGTAAAAACTAAAGCTGGATTTCTGTCAGGCAAATGTCAGAATACATGTTTGTAAAAAGTAGTTAAAATAACTGGGTCGTTTTAATTCTCTATAATAAACAGAACAGAGATTTTATCTCGGGGGGACAAAAACTAAAGCTTTGAAGGAATTCACATTTCATTTTCTACTTTACTCCCGAACAGGGAAAGTAATCTAGCAAATGAATACAGTTCAACGTTAAATTCCCTTCCTCCATTCAACAAATTTATTATCTACTGCGGGGAGGATTGTGCTAGGCAGAGAGATCACAGCAATGAATAAAATGGGCCGCCCATGTGGGCTCTACAGGCTAGGACAGAGGTTAGCCAACTTTTCCTGTAAAGAGTCAGATAAATATTTTAGGTTTTGCAGGCCACACTGTCTGTGTCAACGTCTCAACTCCCCACTTGGAAAACAGCCAGACAACACCTAAACGAATGGGTGCAGCTGTCTGCCAGTAAAACTTCACTGATGGAGACTGAAACTTAGATTTTATATAACTGTCACGGACCATAAAATGATATTCTTTTGCTTTTCTCCCCCCAAAATTGAAAAAAAAAAGTGAAAACACGCGTAGCTCACTACAAAAACAAGAGCGAGGCTGCATCTGGCCCACACACCAGAATTTGCTGACCCCTGGTCTAGGGGAGAAGGAAGACCTCCAAACAGATCAGCTGTCTACAGACTACTACCTCCTCTGTTGCACTTCCAAGTTTCTTCTCGACGATATAGTTGCATTTGTATGTTAGAGTACTTTTACTTTTTTCCTTTGAAATTTCCCCATCACTCTGTGACATAGGAGAGGCAAGAATTTAAATCCACCTCGGTGGAGGCTCACAGAAGGGACATGACTTGCCCAAGGTCATACAGATTTAATGGTAAAGCAAGTTTTTCAGAACCGGCCCTCCAGACTCCCAGTCCAGTGCTCTTTCTCCTGTAACACGGTGCCCCCACAGGCAAATGGCCACATAACGTTTCGGTCTCTGCCTGGACAGCCCAGGGGTGCCCAAGATGTTGTCCACCCAGTTGTCAGGGGACCGTGAGCACCGGAGGTCCTCAATCTGACACCCAGCCTGCTCAGCCCCACGCTGGATCTGACATCACTTGTCCCGGATTCCCGGGCCAACTCCCTCTCTGGCCACCCTGCAGCCAGCTCGGAGCCCTCTCCCAGGCACCCCCTTCCCCTTCCATCCCTGCTGCAATTGCGGGTGCCCGTCTCCTCAAACTCAAGACTCCCGAGCCTGGCTCCGGGAAGCCCCGCGCCGCTTCTCGGAGTCACCCCCAACTCTAAGGGCTCAAGTGACCATTCCCGGGGAACTCGGTCCGACACTCCCTCAAGGTGCGCCCACACGTCGCCCCCGGAGTCCCGCACCGGAGCGGCCGCTGTCCCCCCACCCCTGCACTTACGCTGAGCCGCGGAAAAGGCCGCGTGGGCTAGGGCAAAGAGGCCGACGCCCACCAGCCCTTTCCATAGCGACGGCGCCATGATTCCGGAGGAGCGGCAGCCCAACAAAAGAGGCGAAGGGCGGCGAAGCTGTTCCTTCTTCCACGGGCGGGTGTCCGCGCAGCGCAGACAGATGACGTCACTGAACCCCTGGGCGCGAAACGCCTCAGAGGTGGAAAAGCCTCGGAGCCGTGAGAAAGCGGAAGCAGGAATGCCGGGAAGAAGGGGAGAGCGACGCGGAATAAGGTCCGCGAGTGACCACGAGCCGAGCCTGCGCGGCGCAGCCTCTCCGCGAGGGGCAGCGCTGAGCGGAGAGCCCGCAGACGGAGGCGAAAGCGGATCAATGGAGAAGCGGCGCGGAAGGGCGCCAGCAAATGAGCGTGGGCCGCGGGGCGAGGGGCGGGGCCTGCGGAGAGGCTGGAGGGGCGGGGCGGCGCGAGGGCGGGAGGGGGAGGTTCAAGGCGGCCCTGGGTCTCTACGCCTGGCAGGGGGTTTGTTTGTTTGCTTTAGCTGGTCGCTGCAGAAGTCTCATTTGTCTTCTGATGGCCGGTCCTGGGCTTCAGCCCTCGGGGAGGCAACAAGCGAAGCGGCGAGTGGGGTGTAGGGGGGAAGACCCCGGGATTTGGAGTCCCAAACACGTGGCGTGCATGGGACGCTCCGTAAAAGTTAGTTCCCTTCTCCTTACCTTCAGAAGGTCTTGAAGAAAGGTTCACGCCCCAGGGGGGTGTGGTGCCGTGGGAGAATGTTGTCCGGGAGGGAGCCGGTTTACATTAGGTTGAAAGGAAAGGGCGCGAACAACGCCGGCCCATTTTCTCTATCTCTGATCAGAAGGGGGAAAAAAAAGTGTACTCTCCGTTTTTGATTTGTCTCTGTGTCCATCCCCTTAAATGTAGACACTCATTAGTGAGGTTCTTCCGGTGAATTCTTTCCAGCCTGCTCTCCTTTGGCGAGCTCACCTATTCATTCCCATCTATTCAGCCACAGTGATTCCAAAGCGACATCCCAATCTCAAAGGTCTCTCCTTGGCTCAGCCCTGCATTTCCAGACCTGCTGATCACTTATTTCTAGCCTGCGGCACTTCAAAGTTAATATGGCCAAAACGAAATTCATTCTCAGCTCCTCAAGTGCCCCCTGACTGATTGGCACAGCGCTGTAAGCTGCATATATCACAAGGGAAATGCCCTCAGCCCTGTCGGGATTGCACATTTGGCTAACTGTGGTGTGCTGGAAGACCCCTATCCTGGTCACCCCCTTTAAATTTGCAATCTCCCATTCCCGGTCCCCTTAACCTGCTCTATTATTTCTAGATCACCTTCTGAAATATTCTACAATTTACCTGTTTATAATGTTTGTTGTGTTGTTATTGTTCATTGTCTCTCTTCCCACACTGGAATGTAAGTTGGGAAAGAACAGATTTCTGTCCATGCCTAGAACATTGCCTGCCGCATACAGATAGGCATTCAACGAATGTTTGCTGAATGAATGATGGGAAAGAAGTGGGGAGTGACTTACCCTTGTTTAAATGGATCTCTATAGAGAGTCCTTCCATTATTTTGAATTGGGTTCAAAAATCCTTGTGGACTTAAAAAAAAATCCTTGTGGACTTGTATACACTCTTAAATTTTGATAACCCTTTGATGATAAACCTTTTCTGATATACTTGAGCTTCCTCGAAGCTGAAAAAATTAACAAATAAAGAAGGCATCCAAGAGCCTTCAGATTTCCTAAACTTATGGCTTTTGTCCTCGATCCCATTTTCCAAACCCTTCATTATGATCACTATTTTTCTCTAGGTCTGCTCCAATTTTTTCACCTCTAAACCAAGATTTGACCAAGTATTCAATATCAAGTACAGTATAATGTATTCCTTACTAATGTAAGTGTATTCATAAACCTCACAATCAGGAAGAACAAGGAAATAATCTTTCTGTGCTGGCTTGAAAGTGCTTCCTTCTCCCTGGAAGGTAGCAAGGTAGAAAAGATAAATGACCCCCCCAAAAATCTTAAAACTTGGTGTTAGGGGCTCCTGGGAGTCCGCTTCAGCTCAGGTCATGATCTTACGGTTCATGAGTTTGAGCCCTGCATCAGGCTCTGTGCTGACAGCTCGGAGCCTGGAGCCTGTTTCAGATTCTGTGTCTCCCTCTCTCTCTGCCTCCCCCCTCCCCCCGTTCATGCTCTGTCTCTCTGTCTCTCAAAATAAATAAACATTGGGGGCGCCTGGATGGCTCAGTCAGTTAAGCGTCCGACTTCGGCTTAGGTCATGATCTTGAAGTTTGTGAGTTCGAGCCCCGTGTCAGGCTCTGTGCTAACAGCTCAGAGCCTGGAGCCTGCTTTGGATTCTGTGTCTCCCTCTCTCTCTGCTCCTTCCCCATTCTCTCTCTCTCTCTCTCTCTCTCAAAAATTAAATAAACATTTAAAAAAATAAAAAATAAACATTGAAAAAAATTTTAAAACAACTTGGTTTTAGCTTTGATAATGATCAAATTGAAACTAGCCTTTTCAGGCACCCTACTAAAGTATCTCTGCTAATATTAATTTATCTGAAGTAGAGAAATGATGAGGAGGTTTCTGAAGGGAGCTTATATCTGGTCCCTTTCTCTTTTTTTAATGTTTATTTATTTTTTAGACAGAGGGAGACAAAGTGTGAGTGGAGGAGGGGCAGAGAGAGAGGGAGACACAAAATCTTAAGTAGGCCTCAGGCTCTAAGCTGTCAGCACAGAGCCTGACGTGAGGCTTAAACCCATGAACCGTGAAATCATGACCTGATCCCAAGTTGGACGTTTAACTGATTGAGCCACCCAGGTGCCCCTGATTCCTTTCCTTTAAAAAGATGAGGTTACAGGGGTACCTGGGCGGTTCAGTCAGTTAAGCGTCCGACTTCGGCTCAGGTCATGATCTCACAGTTGTGAGTTCAATCCCTGCGTCAGGCTCTGTGTTGACCGCTCAGTCGGGCTTTGGTTTCTGTGTCTGCCCCTCCCCTGCTCATGCTCTGTTTCTATCTCAAAAATAAACATTTTTTTAAATTTTAAAAAAATAAAAAGATGAGGCTACAGAAAGAGAGCCAGTAAGGAATCTGGTATTTGTATAAGCTGCTAGGTATTGGATTTGATTTTCTCCATTACATTCCTTTTTTTTTAACTTTTTATTTATTTTTGAGAGAAAGACAAAGTGTGAGGAGGGGGTGGGGCAGAGAGAGGGAGACACAATCCGAAGCAGGCTCAAGGCTCTGAGCTGTCAGCACACAGTCTGACACAGGGGTCGAACCCACAAACTGAGAGATCATAACCTGAGCTGAAGCCCGAGGCTTAACCAAGTGAGCCACCCAGGCACCCCTGATCTTCTCTACATTCTTTTTTTTTTTTTTTAATGTTTTATTTATTTCTAGGAGAGAGAGAGAGAGAGAGAGAGCGCGTGAGCAGGGGAGGGTCAGAGAGAGTGTGAGTCATATTCTGATACAGGCTCCAGGCTCTGAGCTGGCAGTCAGCACAGAGCCCGACTCGGGGCTCGAACCCACGAACCGCGAGATCGTGACCTAAGCGAAAGTCGGACGCTCAAACGACTAAGCCACCCAGGCGCCCCATCTCCTTTACATTCTTAATATGAATGCCCCATTCTCTTTTGAATATCTTACCCGTGTACAGAATGCAAAAGAAATGAGGCTAGTTTCACATTTTCTAGAAGTAAATGGTTAACTCCTATTCATGGAGTGGGATTTTAATGGTCTTATCTGTAGATTTTAACCTGAAGGGAAGCCAAAGTATGCATAGTCACAGTAATCAAGGACAGTGTCATTCAAATAAGTACCTTGGGTCCGTTTACCCATTGTATGTATTCTAGGTTGGAGTTAATCCCAAAGGTGCAAGGTATAGCAAGGGGCAGCACAGTTTTCATGAACTCTTAGAAAAAAGAGAAACTTCATGTGAAACTGCATTTAAATTCCTAGGTGAACCCAGAAGTGCCTTTAGTTTTCGTAAAGAAACAGCCGTTTTCCATATTCACAGTGGGTATGTGATGTGGCTTTGTTGAAGGTGGGGATAATGATCTCTGACGTGTGTCCTACCCAGAATGTTATTTATGAAGATGGATCAAGTCTTCCCAGGATCGTTTGTTGCATAGAGAAGGCCCCACAATCCAAAATTATCTTCAGGTTGATTGATTTTGTTACATGCCACCCAACTAGGCAAGTAACTTCATACACCATTCGGATGCGCCATTTCTCATGCAGATTCTCTTTCTATCTGACTTGCTCTGTCCTTTCCTGCCTAGTTCAAAAATCCACATTCCCTAGGAATATGTTGTTGACTGTTATAGGCATATATGTATTGTAGGTACTAAACCTTTCTTCAAACTATTTCTACTTATTCCAACCTCCCTGGGTCACAAACTCTAGAATTTTACCACCTGCTGGGTAAACTAGTATTTTCAATATTTGTCTTGATATTGCATAGTCTCTTTTTTCTTTACGAAAATAGTGTGTGTTCAGCATAAGAAATTCAAACAAAACACTGTATCCCTCTTAATGCATTAAGTGGTACTTTGGTATCTACAGCTTTGAACCTTAGTAAACAAGATTGTGGTTACTTGATTCATATCTTTAAGATTTGTTCGCTGAAAGGCTTATACTACTGGGGTTCAAAGCATATGCTCTAGAATCAGGTTGGATTCGAATCCTGGCTTCTCCTTTACTATCTGGGAGATTGGGCAAGTTACTTAACTGTGCCTCAATTTCCTCATCTGTAAAGTGGGGGTAATAATAGTACTTCCCTGGTAAGATTGTTGTTTGGATTGAGTGAGACCATACGTGTAAGTTGTTTAGAATAATCTCACACGGTGAGTACTAAATAAATGCTAGCCATTATTATTGCTGCTGTGCTACTGTTGACTCTACTAGATATTTTTCCAGACTAAAAGGGTTCTGTATCCCTTTAGTCTTTCCTAAAACATCAGTCGCTTCTCCCCTTTCGAGATTTTAATTGCTCTTCTCTGGACCATTTCTAGAGCTGCTAATAACTCCCCTGGGGTTTCATTACCACATCTGCACAAAGTATCCTAGGTTACTTGTCTGAGGTTAACATGACTATTCATTTCAAGTAGCCTTGGCACTGAAAATGGCACCAGAGGTCTTAATAGCCTTTTTTTTTTTTTTTTTTTTTAAAGCACATTGAGCTGGTACGTTTAGGAAATAAATGGAAAACTCCAGCATTGTACTGGGTCCTAACTGATATTTGTGACCTATTCTTTCTCCCACTTATGTTTTTAAAAAAAAAAGTTTATAATTTTTTTAAATTTATTTTTAAGAAAGAGAGAGACAGAGACAGAGCGTGAGCAGGGGAGAGGCAGAGAGAGAGGGAAACAGAATCTGAAGGAGGCTCCAGGCTCTGAGCTGTTAGCACAGAGCCTGATGCGGGACTCAAACTCATGAACTGTGAGATCATGACCTGAGCCCAAGTCAGCTGCTTAACTGACTGAGCCACCCAGCCGCTCCAGTCTCCCACTTCTTGAATATAGGCATTCCCTATAGCATTACCCCAAACTGGGTCTCTTTCTACCTTACTTTCTTTGGAGAACACATGAGCTCCCATAACTTCAATATTGTGCATATAGCTCCCAAATCTTTCACTGGTCCTGGCTTCGCTTGTGAACTGCAGACCCACCACTTGGATATCCCACCAGTCCCCTAAATCCAACCTGTCCAGAGCCAACCTATACCTCCTGCCTCCCATTTTAATGCTATTAGCAGTCCTGTGTTTTCTTTTTAAAAAAAAAATTTTTGTTTTATTTAATTTTGAGACAGAGAGACAGAGTATGAGTGGGGGAGGGGCAGAGAGAGAGAGAGGGAGACACAGAATCTGAAACAGGTTCCAGGCTCGGAGCTGTCAGCAGAGAACCCGATGCGGGGCTCGAACCCACCAACTGTGAGATCATGACCTGAGCCCAAGTCGGATGCTTAACCAACTGAGCCACCCAGGTGCTCCACTCCTGTGTTTTCTAGTTACGCAGGTTCAAAACCTTGGAGTCTTCTTCCAGTCGTTCTGCCTCAAGCATCCCCAGTCTACCCACCCAATCAGTTGCCAAGACATTGGCTCCTGCATCCAGCCTCCTTTCTCCCTTTTCCATTCCTACTGCCTCTGGTAAGTTAAGGCCTCCTGACTTTTCGGCAAGACTACTGTTCTAACCACTTTGTTTTCACCTTTCTAACTTCTCAACTGGCCTCGCTACTGCCCATCTCTCTGCATTTCATTCATCCCCCTTTCTTCTGTCAAATTAACATGGGGGGAGTTTGGGGTTTATTTATTTATTTTTTTATTTTAGAGAACGTGTGAGCAGGGGAGAGGAGCAGAGGGAGAGGGAGAGAATCTTTTTTTAAAGATTTTTTAAAGTTTATTTATTTTAAGAGAGAGGGAGCATGGGGGAAGGGCAGAGAGGGAAGGAGAGAGAGAATCCCAAGCAGGCTCCGCACTGACAGAGCAGAGCCTGACGCAGGGCTCAATCCCACAAACCGTGAGATCACGACCTGAGCTGAGAAAAAGAGATGTCCCACTAACTGAGCCGCCCGGGCGCCCCATCATTGGGGAGGTTTTGACCAGGGAGATGAATGAGTTAAAATTTTCTGTGGCATAAAGACCTTCCACAGTATGGCCTCAACTTAGTTTCCGGCATTTCCCTCAAGTACAGGAACTAATCAACTCAATGTTTATCAGGCACATCCAGTAGGCCAAGGACGGTGCTAACCACCAGGCTAAATTTATCTACACTTTTCAGCGACCAAGTATTTCCTGAGCACTTACTATGCACCTGGTACTGTAAAGTCCTATTTCAGTTTAGTCCTTGAACTGAATCCACGTCCCTGAGTGAATTTAATGCCCTCTGCAATCATGGAGATTTCCTTGGTACTCAGTTAAATTTGAGAGACCTTCTTGGAACCTCAGATGTGCTTTATTGAATAACTATTTTGGTTAGACCTTATGCTAGGTGCTGTCAGTAAAGAAATAAGCAACACCTGGTTACTTCCCTGAAGCTTCCCCTTACCTGTAGAGTAACAGACCTGTAAATCAAGCATGATAATACTTCAGGAGGGCTTAGAGAGAGAGTTGCGCAGGGTGCTGTGGGAGCTCATACGAGGGACCCCAAAGTCAGCCTGAGGGCGTCACTAAAGCTTAGTGACCTTTAAACTGAGTTTTGTCAAGTAAGCAGAAATTAGGTGAGGAAAGGGTTGAAGGGCAGAAGGAGCCCATGGAACTGCACATAGACGTAGGAAACCACGTGAAGCATTCAGAAAACTACAAAGGACTTCAGAATGGCTGGAGCAAAATATACTTTGGGGAGAAGGATGGGCTAGGAGGTGAAGAAGGAGTTGGAAGTCAGGACTTCTGACCGGAGTGTTGGGTGCCATGCTAAGGAGGCAGAACTGAAGATGATGTGGGGGGGTTGGAGCAGGGCTGTGCTATGTATAATCAGATTTGCGCTTCAGAAAGATCCCTCTAGTAGAAGCACGGAAGGACAATTGGTGGAGACCAAGGCAGAGGTCAGCAAACCTTTCTCATAAAAGACTAGGCAGGGGGCGCCTGGGTGGCTTAGTCGGTTAAGCGTCCGACTTTCGCTTAGGTCATGATCTCGCGGTTTGTGGGTTCGAGCCCCGCGTCGGGCTCTGTGCTGACTGCCAGCTCGGAACCTGGAGCCTGTTTCAGTCTGTGACACCCTCTCTCTCTGACCCTCCCCTGTTCACGCTGTCTCTCTCTCTCTCTCTCCTAGAAATAAATAAAAATATAAAAAAAAAATGTTTGGCAGAATTCTCCTGTGTATCCAGCTAAGCCTAGATATTTCTTTGTCAGAAACTTTTTAGAGAGAGAGCAAAAGAGCACTAGCCGAGGAGAGGGATAGAGGGAGTGAGAGAGGTGGGGAGAAAGAGAGAATCTTAANGAAATCCATTTAAATGTCAGTCAATATAGGTTTTTTAAAAATGACCAATGGGAACGTAATGTACAACATGGCACTATGGTTAATAATATTGTATTATATATGTGAAAGTTGCTTGGGATGTAATCTTAAAAGTTCTCATCAGAAGAAAAAATTTGTGGGGGCGCCTGGGTGGCTTAGTCGGTTAAGCGTCCGACTTTCGCTTAGGTCATGATCTCGCGTTTCGTGGGTTCGAGCCCCACGTCGGGCTCTGTGCTGACTGCCAGCTCAGAGCCTGGAGCCTGTTTCAGTCTCTGACTCCCTCTCTCTCTGACCCTCCCCTGCTCACGCTCTCTCTCTCTCTCTCTCTCTCCTAGGAAAAAAAAAAAGACTAGGCAGTAAATGGCTTAGGCTGTTTGCAGTCTCTACAGTCTTTTTGGCAACTACTCAACTCTGCCTTCTAGTGCAAAAGTCGCTGCAGACCGTAAGCAAACAAATGGGCACGGTCGTGTCCAATAAACTTTACTGATAGACACTGAAATGTGAATTGCACGTCATTTTCACGTGTCACGGAATAGTCCTCGCTTGACTTTTTTCCAGCCATTAAAAAAAAATGTATGAAGCATTCGTAGTTTCAGGGTATACCAACACGGGTGGCAGGCCGGATTTGGCTGGCTGTCCATTGTGGCTAATCTCTGGCCTAGGGGATCAGAGTGTAGAGAATGTTGCCAACTCTTTTGAGAAGCTCATTGCCGAGGAGGAGAAAGAACTAGTGCGGTAGTGGAGGCAGGTGTAGACAAAGGCCTGTGTCTCAGGAGAGACCTGGAAGTGGTTTTGGAGAACAGGAAGAGATAGTGGACCAGTCTTGGAATAAATAAGTCACAGGGATGAAAGGGACCGCATAGGGAATATAGTCAGTGGTATTATAATAGCGCTGTATGGGCTCAAATGGGAGCTACACTTGTGGTGAGCACAGCATAACGTATAGACTTGTGGAATCACTGAGTTGTGCACCTGAAATTAACAATGCAACAGTGTATGTCACTTATACTTCGATAAAAAGAAAGATCCTGGACAAGGAGCCATTGCAAATGGTGGAGAGAGATGATTGTCGGACTAGATCCGGGAAGAGGCAGGAAGTGACGGGATGCATAGTACAGACTGCAGTGTAGGTGTTTCATGAGGGAGGAGAAAGCCCCGCTTTCACTTGAGGCTGGAGGGGAGGACGAAAGGAGGGACACTGACAAGAGACTTAAGTGGATTGCAGAGTAAAGTAAGTGAATTTTCTTGGGGGTCTTGATTTTCACAGTGAAAAAGGAGGCAAGGCTCAAATTCCAGGGGGTTTATCATAGGAGCATCGGAGATGAAGGCAGGGCTGGGGTATGGGGAAGAGAGGAAGCTGTGGCCCAGCTGCCCGGGGTCCTCCGAGAGAATGAATGGCAGTGACCAGGAGGTCATCAGGTGACGAGGAATGGAGAGTGTTAGAGCTTCCCTGAAGGTGGAGGGGTGATGGGCTTGGAACAAGGATCGGGAAGTGAGCTGAGCGACAAGTCCTCCTTCAGGCCACATGATACAGGGCGCGCGCGCGTGTGTGTGTGTGTCTGTGTGAGAGAGAGAGAGAGAGAGAGAGAGAGAGATCGGCGGTGAAGAAACAAATAGCACCACCTGAAACAGCCTCAGAACACGTGATGTCCTTGGGTGAGATTCAAGTACTGATTAAAGGAGGAGATGGAAGGGGCAGCCACTGAGAAGGCTGGGTAATTTGTTCATAACGGAGGTCACTTCAGAAAGCACACCGCAGGGAGGGCAGTAGTGGGAGGATGGCAGATTGGGGGTGGCGGCGCCGCAAGAGCCACAGCACAGAGAAGCGTTGGGTTGAGGGCGGTGCACGTTCTAAGGGGAGGCAGAATTCACGGAGACTGGCCCACTTGGTAGAGTCATTGCCATCCCAGGATTCCTCCAGGAACTTTGATGTTAAAAGGTGACTGGGGAGGCGGGGCCACTAAGCTGCTGGGGCCTGTCAACAGAGGCGGAGTCCGAGGCTTGAAGATACTGACTGGCTTACTGTGGTCAGGCAAGCAATCTGGGGCTTTGGTCATTTTCAAGTTCCCAACACGAAGAGGCTGATTTGTACTGAAGCAAAACAGCCTTGGATAAGGTGGGTGGGCCTGAAGAAACAGGCAAACTAATTTGCTGGGCCTTCGGGAGTGATCAAGATAGGTCTGGGGACGGGGCAGTGGGGAAACTGGGAAGGAGCCTCACCTGGTCTTCTTGCCTCTCTAAAGTCCCGCCCTGCATGCACAGGGCCGTGTGGTTAGGCTGAGCCAGGGTGTAGGGGGGCCAGGCAGCCATGAGATTTCTTGGGAATGCTCAGACAGACACAAGTACTAAGAGGAGAAGCTGAGCTCACAGTCTCTGGGATAGTTCCTGATGCGACAGAGACAGAATTTGGAGTTGAACACCTGCTCTAGGTTTTATTTTGTTTGGTTTTGTTTTTCCAGCTCACTATCCTCACAGAACTTAAAGCGCTGGTGAGTGGGAGTGAATCCAAAATGGGGTAGCTTGGAGTTGCCTGGATGTTCTTTGCCTTAGCAAGGAGGGTATATGGCCATGAGATGAAAACGTTTGAGAATCAGGACCTCTGCTAAGCAGAATGATAAAATTGGATTGATGGTACCAGTAACGGTTTGCAAAATCTGAGAAACATTTCATGTCTGTAATGGGGGAAATGAGCTCATTTCAAAGAAGTTTTAGGTTTTGAGGGGCTCCTGGGTGGCTCAGTCTTGGGTCAAGCATCCAACTTCAGTTCACGTCTGATCTCACCGTTTGTGAGTTCGAGCCCCGTGTTGGGCTCTGTGCTGACAGCTCAGAGCCCAGAGCCTGCTTTGGATTCTGTGTCTCCCTCTCTGCCCCCCCACCCCCACCCCTGCCTGTGGTCTCTCAAAACTAAATGCACGTTAAAAAATGTTTTAAAAAAGCAGTTTTAGTTTTTGAGCTTGGTGGGGCCCTGAACAGGTTATGTGCTCGGTGCCCATCCGGTGGAGGGGTGAAGGGAGGGTGGCAGGTCAGGGTTTGGGTTTGCAGTTCATTCGCGTAGAGGTAGAGAGGAAAGTCCAGAGAAAACAGCCCGTACAGACTAAGGTGTGATCTGATAAGAATGGGGGGAGATACGAAGAACCGGGGATATTCTGGTGTGCCGGCGTGAGAGGCGAGAGACGGTGTCAAAGGTGACACCAGTTGGGTGAAATGTGCGTTGGGACAGCGTTCGAAAGGAGCATGGGGAGAGGGAGAAACGCACCACACCTCAAAAGATTTCTTCTTTGGGAAGGGAGGGGAGTGTTTGGAGCTCCGGTAGATTTGAGCACACACCGATTGAATCTTTGCGAGATTGATGAGTGTCTCTGCACAGGTCCTGACGCGAGAGGCGACTCGGACCTCGGGTGGTTTACATGTAAGGAAAACGGAACGTAAGGGCACACGCATATTCTTTGCCTTTGAGTCGATTCTTTTATGAACTACTATAGTGTTGTTGTTTTTCCCCCACTGGGGGCAGAGCAAGGAGAACCCGATTTAAATGAGGTGGAGTTTCAGGCGTCTCCCAAGGGGACAACTTCTTATCCAGTTAAGAGACACCGGGGGACAATATTGAGATGGGTTATGAAAGCTCGAGTCCCCTGAGTGCTATAAGAATAGGACCAAAGTAGACCTAGCACGATCGGCCTCTGCCTGATCACGCCCAGCTGAGGGTTCTTTCCAGAAGGCCGTGGGCAAGATTCAACAGCCTTTTCGTTCCTTGGCAGCACCTGAGGCTGCGCGTCCGGGGCTGGGGGAAACCCGTGCGGTGGAGACCCGAAAGGCGAAGGGATGGGGCCCGAACCAGCCAGGAGTGTCGCGTCCCCTTTAAGAGCGGCGGCGGCGGCGGCGGCGGCGGCGCGCGCTCCGACGGCTTCCCTGGGGCCCCGCCCCTTTCCCGTGAGCCCTCGGGGAGTGGTCCGACCGCGGGCGGCTGCGGGTGAGGAGCGGGGCGGGGGGCGGGGGGAGTCATGGCTCGACGCGGCTGGCTGCGGGCGCCCCTCGGCCGCGGCGGCGGCGGCGGCGGCTGCGGCGGCGGCCGCCGCCCCGGGGCCCGCCGGCTCATGCGGCCGCTCTGGTTGCTCCTCGCAGTGGGCGTCTTTAGCTGGGCCGGGGCTTCGGACGGCGCCGGCGGAGCAACGAGAGCCATGGACGAGGAGATCGTGTCCGAGAAGCAAGCGGAGGAGAGCCACCGGCAGGACAGCGCCAACCTGCTCATCTTCATCCTGCTGCTCACGCTCACCATTCTCACGATCTGGCTCTTCAAGCACCGCCGGGCCCGCTTCCTGCACGAAACCGGCCTGGCTATGATTTATGGCAAGTGCCTCAACCCATGTCCGCCCCCTGGCGCTCCCCCTTTCTCTGAACGCCGGCTGCTTCACCTCTTCTCCTGGCCCTGCTCGGCCTGTGGTCGGCTCCCCTTCTGAGTCCTTTTATTTTCCGCCTCGCCTGCCCCCTCACCCTCGTTTCTCTGCCTCGCCCCCCCCTTTTTTTATGCTATGCCCCTCATTTCTCAGCCTCACCTCGTTTCCTTGTCAGCCTCATCCCCTGTTTTCTCTGCCTCGCACCCCCTTTCCTTTGCGCGTCCACACCTTTTTTACTTCGACCCCACCCCCTTTTTCTTCCGCGCATCCCTCCCCCCCACCCCCGCCCTGCCGCCTCTGCCTCCCGAGCTCGGGACCCGAGACCTGGGACCCGGGACTGAGGATGGGAAGGGAGTGGGTGCGGTGTCTCAGATTGGGCTGGGGACTGGGGGAGGGGAAGACAGCCTAGCGATCCGTTTCTCCGGGGTGTCAGTTTGTTTAAGATCCGTGGAAGCTGCGGTAGGATCTCTCCTGCTCCGAATCTGGCGTTCCCTTGGAGCCGGAGTCCACCTTTACCCATCACCCCCGCTCTTGCTACGCCCTGTCCTTTTCGAGGTTGAGAATGAAAACCTCACTCCGGTGTAGCCAGAGAGAATATCTGAACGCGAAAGGAGCTATAAAGAAGGCTTAGGGTATTTTTCATGACGTCCTGGTTTATTGTACTACGCTTGTAATATCTGATTAGGGTACGTGTGGCCGACCCTCCTAAGCTCGACAGGCCGAGGTGAGGGCAAGGAAGAGTTAAAAGGTCTCCCAGCCGTGTGTTGTACTATAGGATGATCAGGACAGTTCAACCAAACAGTAATCAGGAGCACCACGCATATGCAGGATGAGGGACTTGCTGGTGACCTAAGGTTATTGACCGATCGTTGAGTAAATGCCTTCAGCCCCTGTGTCTTAGTGTGCTTTCTTTTTGAGATTTATTGATGCATAGTTATATTTTGGTCATAAGGAGAGATGGGCAAAGCAATCCATGGGCTCACAGGCGTTTTGGCCTGCGCGAGGCCTTAGGAGAGGAAAAGATGCATATTGCTGACGGTCTCAATGTGATCGTGTGGGTATAGAGATGGCTGAAGAGATGATGGTGGACACTCCTTTCCGACCACGAATCTTCATATAGAACAGGCTTACACTGATGAGCTGGTCGAGCTTTGTTTCGCAGACTCACAAATAGATAGAAGCATCCTTGGCACACACACAAAAAAACATTTCTCCATGGACCCCCCTCCCCCCCAGCCCTTTCCAGTAAATACAGACTTCTGGAATGTGCAGCTCAAGGGTGGCCAAACAAGGTAGTTGAGTGCATCAGGAAAACACATGAACTCAGGCTTATTTTTCATTTGTAAGGTAATACGATTCTAAGCCTGCGTGCAACTCTCACTGCTCCCTAGAATTCTTAGTTTGTAGACATATTAGCTGGTTTTCATATTTCATATTTTTTGCATTTGACTGGCAGCACCCCTTAAGCTAAACTGGCCAAATAAGCTTCGCATCTCTATGTAATTTCTTGTATAACAGCATGTGCATTTATAAATCAAATGTGCACATGATTTATTTATATTTACTGCTCTCTACAAACATTTGCTGGGCGGCCAACTATGTATGAGGCACAGAAAATACGACGAAATAGATCCCCACCTTCAAGGAGCTTTGCTATCTTGGGTAGACAGGTCATATAAAGAAAATAACGGCATCTTAAACTTAGTTAAATGCCCAGTGGGTATTATGGTGTTAAAATAAGGAACCGATCACAGAACTCTCTTTCCTCCATATGGAGAGAGAGTACGATGTAGTGGCTAAAGGTGCAAGGCTTTAGACCAGAGGTATGCTAATTTTTTTTCTCTAAAGAGCCAGATAGTAATTATTGTTGACTTTGTGGGTCACAGAGGTCTCTGTGTCTCTGCTGCGTTTTCTTCTTTTCGTCTTTTTCTTTTTACAAACCATTTATAAACCTAAAGAATGTAAAAACGGTTTTTTAGCTCTTAGGCCATGCAAAACCAAACCAACCCCTGCTTTAGAGTCAGACCTGGGCCCCTGTACCAGTGTGCCATCTGTTTGTAGGCAAAGTCCCTTACCCTCTTGCCCTGTCATCCGTAAATTGGGAAACATGATAGTTGCATTATTGGGAGGGAGAAATGTTTTTAACTAGTACCTGACCCCTAAGTAAATGCTCAATAAATGATACCCGTGATACTATTGTAAATTGCTCTTATAACTGCATTTTCTCAGGTTAGGCTCGGAACAGTTCTTTTAATTGCTCCGTCTTACAAGTTAAGAGGCAAACACAGTGTTGTTGTTGTCTTCTTCTTCTTCTTCTTCTTCTTCTTCTTCTTCTTCTTTTTTAATATCAAACAAGGACTTAGAATTGCCCTGGAAATATTTGCTCCTTGGTAGTTGATACCTTTAACCTCCTCGAACTCTTGAGCTAAGTAGAAAAGTGGGATTACTGACTGCATTTCCTGATGTGTCTGAGATAGTGAAAGGTGATGGAATACCTCAGTGTTAGTTATCTTGTGAAGGAAAAACAGAGGTAGCCCTTGGCGGAATATAAAGTAGAAGGATATTATCTGGGAGTCAGTTCTGGGCTTGGTTTGCCACGATTTGGCATTCTTCAGCCTGTTCCATTTTCTCAGAATGGCAATGGGGGCTATAGATCAACAGCCTCCTGGCTAACTCCCAAGTCCAATTTGAGAATAGATGGGATTGGGTCAAAGTCTTTTCAGTGCCGTGGACGTTGATGTTTTTAAATCCTAATTACTGTCTGCCATTTACCTTTTCTTATGACTCTTATACCACCATAGCTGGTATGTTAATATATTATTTTAAGACCTTTAATTTTCAGCTTGACTTCCAGAGGAATAGGCTCCTTGCTCTGGGGATATCCAGCCCTCCAAGATTCAGCCTACTGATGGGTTTTATTTCTGTGATGTCGGTTTAGCTACCTAAATCCTGGGAAAATGCTATTTAAAATAAACCTCTCCTTTATATGTTTGAGAATCAAGGGTAAAAAAAAAAAAGAAAGAAAGAAAAAGTGCCAATACGGTCAGTTTCTAGATTGTAATACAGCCTAATTGCTACGGCTCCAAACACGGTGCGAAAGCGCCCAAGTGTTCTGTTCATTGGGCTAGCTTGCTTAAGAAGCTTAAAAGTGAGTCACCATTAGTAAAAATTGTCAGGGTAGTTAATTAAGTCTGAAAAGTGATCACTCACTGTAGTGTGCTTACACATTGTATAAAAAGCAAGGGACAGGGAAGAAATATTTTGCCTGAAACTTAGAGCATCCAGAGTCCTACACTTAACTGATGTGATTCATCAGTAAATATCAAGTGTCGTTGACGTATGAGATGTGATGGGAAGTACAGATATGAGTCATTATCCCTGCCCACAAAGCAATTACGATCTAGTGCCTTAATAGGTAATGTTTATTGAGCATTATAATGTGCTCTACAAGTATCACTTCATTTAAAGTTCCTACCAACCCTGTGAGATGGGTACTATTATCTTTCCCATTTACAGGTAAGGAGATTGGGGCACAGAGAGGTTAAAGTGCTTAAAGTCACATAGTTTGTTAGTATTGAGCCAGGATTCAGACCCAGTCAGCCTGGCTCAGAAGCCCCATTCTTTTAGCCCGGAACCATATTGCCTTATATTGAAGAGATAAAGCTTAACAATAAAGATACGCTGGTTTATCATTACATCTGAGAAAACAGGAGGTCCAGTGAGAGGTTATCTACCCTAAGGCCACAGACTAGAACTTGATAGAGCCAGAATTAATACATCTATCTGATTTTCAAGCGTGTGCTTTTTCTCATACATCATACACTGTGCTGTAGTAAATTTCATAAGAAAGATCAGATATGGAGAAAGATAATACTTACAGTCATAGGGGTTTTGCAGGTGCATTGTGAGAGAATGGAGACCTTAACCACTGAAGCAGTTAGTGGTGAGAGTGAGGAGATGATTAGAACAGTAGAGAGGCTTTGGAAATAGAAAAACCAGATTATAATGCCAGTTTTTATCACTTAATGCCAAATACTGTTGGGCAAGTCATTTATCCCCATTTTAGTGATGAGGAAACAGTGACTGAGAGATTTATAATAGTGTCTACTGCATAAGGTTATGAGGCTCAGATAATATATGCAGAAAGAATTAGGACAGAGAGTGATTGATTCAGGGTGCTAGGCGAAAGAATCCCCTTGGAAAAGAGGTTGATCTTCCCCAAAGCGGGGGTTAGGGGAAATAGGCTAATGTTGACATGGAGAGGCATGGGATTGAGGCAGCGTACATCAGGTGGCCTATAGCTTCTCTAAAAAATAGGCAGTGAAATTGAGGATCTGAGAAGGAGGGTAAAGGTTGGAAGAGCTACTAAAAAGAATGTGCTAGAAGACAAAAAAAATTAAGCACATGTAAAACTAACCAGAGGCTGGCAAAGGCCTTGCCTTTTTTTTTTTTTTTTTTTTTTTGGCTGTCTTGAAGTTGAGTTAACTTTTAAAACAAAATCTAACAGCATTCTTCAAGAAGGAGATAAATGTTATATACATACATACACAGGTACACAGATATGTGCATATAAGTCTATATGTACATAGATACACTTGTTAATCTGTAGAAATTGTATCAGCGTTGGCCACACTTAATATCCCAATGATATTCTTCCGTATTTTTATTTTTTTATTTTTTATTTATTTCTAGGAGAGAGAGAGAGACAGCGTGAGCAGGGGAGGGTCAGAGAGAGAGGGAGACACAGACTCTGAAATGGGAGTCAGCACAGAGCCCGACGCGGGGCTCGAACCCACGAACCTCGAGATCATGACCCAAGCGAAAGTTGGACGCTTAACCGACTAAGCCACCCAGGCGCCCCTATTCTTCCATATTTTTGACTGTCAGAGGCTTCTAGTGTCGTAGCCTGGGAGAATGGGCTGAAATCCATTAGAAAACCAATTTCCATTGACCGTGAGACCTATACATGTGTTGTGGCCTCGGATGTTAGGGAGTTCTTTATCCCTGAGGGGAGTTCCAACACTGGAGGGTCAGGAATGTTTAGGAGGGGTGGGGCCTCTCTGTTCCATGAAAGATCTCTCTTTGTGGTTGTAGTCTTTGTTGCCTGTTAGTGGTGATTTTAAATTTCGTGATATCAATATTTTTTGTGCCTCTGTGTAGGAGGCCAGAAGTTTCCGCCTTATCCCTTTAACAAAGCACCCTTTTGTGCACCTTCTCTTGACTGAGAATTGCTTTAACTCCTTGATTCTGATTTGACCTTTCACAGAACCCCCATTAACTTGAACTGTCAACTGTATTCAGAGAAATTCCAGTTTTTCAGATGTCTGCTGCTATAATAAAAGGAGCTTGATTTTTTCCAACCTAAGTAATTATGCTCCTTGCTGAAGTTTTAACTGCCAAAGTGTGTGTTCGAAATTTGTCCAAGCGCTGAGCCCTCCTCAGGGCCCCCAGCGACATTTCAGCATTCAGTCAGAGTGCTGTAAAAGCTTCCATTCCTTACAGACAGGCTTCAGGACTTGGGAAGACTTTGTTCTGCTGTTGTGATTATTTGTAGTAGCTTAGCTATGATTTTTGCCCCAAAACATAAGGGGATAACTTTTTCTGCACCTCTGAATTGGGAGGTCTTACGGGATAGTAGAGAAAAGAGCTCTTTCTGTATCATATAGGCAGGATGACTGTGGACCTACAGCGTTTTTTCATCCAGGCTATGTTTATCAAACCCAGTTGATACCCACCTATCACCTTTCCATTTTGGTTTTTAGAGGCTGGGTATTTTCAGTGTACCTTTTATTTTTAAACAATTTTTTTTAAGTTTATTTATTTATTTTGCAAGACAGAGTGAGCACGGGCAGGAGAGGAGCAGAGGGAGAGGGAGAAAGAAAGAATCCCAAGTGGGCTCTGCGCTGTCAGCACAGAGCCAGATGTGGGGCTCGAACTCCCAAGCCATGAGATCATGACCTGAGCCAAAATCCAGAGTCAGATGCTTAACTGACTGAGCCACCCAGGTGCCCCCATTTAAAAATGTTTTTAAATAAATGTATACTTCTTCACTCATTTCTTCTACCTTCCACCCCAGCCCCTGTCTCTGGCAACCACCAGTCTGTTCTCTGTATCCATGAGTTTTGTTTTCTTTTGGTTTGGTTTGGTCTCCACATAGAAGAGGTATCATATGGTGTTCGTCTTTCTCTGTATGATTTCACTCAGCATAATCCCTTCCGGGTCCATCCATATTGTTATAAATGGCAAGATTTCATTCTCTTTCATGGCTGAGTAATATTCCAGTGTGTGTGTGTGTGTGTGTGTGTGTGTGTGTGTGTACCACATTTTCTTTCTCCATTCATCCATTAACGCACATTTAGGTTGATTCCATATCTCTGCTATTGTAGATGATGCTGCAATGAACATGGGGGGTCCATATTATCTTTCTGAGTTAGTGCTTTTGTTTACCTCAGATAAATACCCAAAAGTAGAATTACTAGATCATATGGGAGTTTTATTTTTAATTTTTTGAGGAACCTCCATACTAGTTTTCATAGGGGCTGCACCAATTTACATTCCCACACGAGGGCTCCCTTTTTTTCACGTCCTTGCCAACACTGGTTATTTCTTGTCTTTTTGATCTTAGCCGTTCTAACAGGTATGAGGTGATCTCATCATGGTTTTAATCTGCATTTCCCCATCTCCGTGATGCTTAATGATGTTGAGCATCTTTTTGTGTACCTGTTGGCTGTCTCTATGTCTTCTTTGGAAAAGTGTTCAGATCTTCTGGCCATTTTTTAATCAGATTTTTTTTTGCTATTGAGTTATTTGATTTCTTTATGTACTTTGGATATCAGTCCCTTATCAGGTATATGGCTTGCAGATATCTTCTCTTTCATTGATATTCAATCTGAAACTTTGTTAAAACCTTTTAAAAGGTTGAGGTCATCATACTGTGTAGTAGTTACTGCTGCTCGCTTTAAAAAAAAACACGTGACTGTGAGTTCCCTGGGAGAATGCCTCCTCTCTGCTCCCTCCTCACTTCTTAGCTCCTTTCCCCTCCTCCCATTTTATCACTTCCCACTCTGGCCTGGCTTCTGCCCCTGCCACTCCCTTACCAAGGTCACCTATGAGCTCCTCATTACCAAACCCAGTGGATACCTCTTAACACCTGTCTCCCTTGACGTTGCTGCGGCGCTGACTAGTTTCCATCACTTCCTCCTCTCCTCTTCTTACTCCTGTTGCTTTTCCTTCTTAGCCTCCTCCGTCAGCTGCCCCTCCTCTACCAGCTCCTTCATGTTGGCTATTAAATGTTGGGAAAACACTCTGGGTGTATATCCATAGTCCTCTCCCCATTTTATTTGCTCCCCAGGTAATCCCAAAGGCACCTGACTTCAGCCGTCTCCACTTGACACCCTGTACTTCCTTGAACTTCAGATCCCACATACTCCACTGTGCATGTGTCACAGGTACATCAAACTCAACATTTCCAAACAGAACCGTACGTCCCCCCCCCCCTTTTGAATCTTTTCCCTTTCTCACAGATGGCCCTGCTGCTACCTGTCTGGTCGCTCAGGCCAGCTTTCCCACCTAGTTGCCAAGTCACTTTGGCTCTCAGTCTCCCTTCCTCTTGGTCTACTCAGTCACCGAATTCTTCTAAAAGATAATGCCTTCTAAAAATCTTTTTCTGTCCCTTTCTCTGCTATCTTAGATTAAGCCCTAAACAATTAGTGCCTGAGTGACTTGCAGTGGCCTTCTGTCTGGCCTCTTTGAGCCTCCATAGTCTAGATCAACCATCTCTTTCTAAAATAGAAATCTAATGTCAAGCCCCTGTTTATTTATAACCCTTCTATGACTTCCTTTTGCTTTCAAGATGTGTAAACTCCCTTCCCCAACTTGCAAGGTCTTTTATGACTCAGCTCCTGCCGATCTTTCACACCTCAACTCTGCCACTTTATAACCCAGCCATACCGAGCTACATGTGATTCCCTGAATGGGCTGTGTTCTCTCGCTCTTCCATGACTGGATGTGTACTACTGTACCTCCTACCTGGAAGACCTTTTATTTTGTTCCCTTGCTTAGGTGACACCTTTGGAAAGACTTTCCTGTTGTCCCACTTCCTCAGGCTGGGTTAGGTACCTCTTTCCTGTTTTCTTGTATAACACCTTGTGCTGTAAGTGCTTATTTGGTCTGTTTTTGCTAACTGGACTGAGGACTACTTGGTGGAGGGACCTTGTTTCCATCTCTGAACCCTGGGGACCTTCTCAGCATAGTATTCTGTTCATTTTTATTAAAAGGATGGCTGGCAAGTTTATGTGAAAGGCAACAGGGAGGTAAAATGTAAGTGATCGTGGTATGCTGTACATCTTGGAGTTAAGCAAAGATCCAGAAGTTTGAGTTCAGTCTGCGGTTGAGGTGTATCTATACAGTGGAGTATTATTTGCCCATAAAAAGGAATGAAGTTCTAGTAAACAGATTAGTGATTGCCAGGGGCTGGGAGTTGAGGGGAGTGGAAATGACTGCTAATAGTATGGAGTTTCTTTTTGGAGCGATGAAAATGTTTTGGAATTGGATGGTGGTGATCAGTATACAACTTTGTGAATATACTAAAAGCCACTGAATCCTATGATTTAAAAGGGTAAACTTTATGGTATGTGAATTACATCTCAATAAAGTCATTATTAAATAGTTTGATCAATATAGGTTTTATTTGTGCACGCATGAATATCAATATTTTTATTCAAGAACAATTCTAGCAATATGTTGATGTCATCATGCCAGGCTGAGAACTTCTATTCCATGTTTTGATTTTAAAGCACATATTTTAAAATTAAAATCTGACCTTTTACTGGCAGAAGAACTCAGTCAACTACAGATATTTTTTTTTTAATATTTTATTTATTTCTAGGAGAGAGAGAGAGAGACAGCGTGAGCAGGGGAGGGTCAGAGAGAGAGAGTCACAGACTGAAACAGGCTCCAGGCTCTGAGCTGGCAGTCAGCACAGAGCCCGACGCGGGGCTCGAACCCACGAACCGCGAGATCACGACCTAAGCGAAAGTCGGACGCCCAACCAACTAAGCCACCCAGGCGCCCCAGATATTATTGACGTTCCAGTTTGTTAAATGTGTATGATTTGGCCAGCCCAGTACTGTAGGAATAACTTGAGAAATGTTGTGTGTTTAACAGTCCTATGAATTGATGGGTGGAGGGGGAGGCGGTAAACATTTCTAATGTGATCACACTGTCGGTTTGGGACACTTTAGAGCATATTCTGTGTATAGATAATTTGAAGGTATTTTTCATTTTGTTACACTCCTGACTACTTACCTGTATCTTGATTTAGAAATGCAATGATATATGCTGTACCCTAGGGAATGTTTTTCCTTCTAGTCCCACTGGAGTATATGAATATTGGACTCAGATTTGTGAAGTTAGTAATGCTTTAAAATGTAACTGCATTCAGTCTAAAAATTGGTTCTGAAGCACAGGAGACTATCATAAGAGTCGTGCTGTTAATCCAAAGGTATGTGTGGGGTATTAAAGAAGTAGTCTTTGTCCTAAAGAAGAACTTATATGGTCCCTTTATTTTTTCCAGGTCTTTTGGTGGGCCTTGTGCTTCGATATGGCATTCATGTCCCAAGTGATGTAAATAATGTGACCCTGAGCTGTGAAGTGCAGTCAAGCCCAACTACCTTATTGGTAAATGTTAGTGGAAAATTTTATGAATATACACTTAAAGGAGAGATTAGTTCACATGAACTCAATAACGTACAAGATAATGAAATGCTTAGAAAGGTAAGTTCTCACTTAAAGGGAATATTTGGATTTTTTTTTAAATGTATAACTACAGCAGAATGATTCAGGAGAAAAATTAATAATGAATCTTTAATGATTTTTAAAATAATGAGTCTTTTAAAATGGAGAAAAATCTCAATTAACAAATGTAATGCTAAGGAAATGGACATCTGTACATTTCATTTTCTGATTGAGGCCAAGTACGATAATCCTTTTTGTTTCACTCCACGATGTTTACAATTGTAATAAATGGTGACCAGTATTGACTTAAGCAGAATTTATAAGCATTTCTTTCAATTTGCAGATGGTCTTTAGAGTTTTATAGTACATTAGCCCATTGCGTTTGTTTGATGATACCTAAAATATGCCATTAATATTTCTTTGAATTTTTTCTTGTTTTCATTGTATTCTGTACTGAGGACAATTTAATCTTTCTTTGATTCACAATCTGGCGCAACTTCAGGGTCCCCATTCTGAGTATCAGTTCTTGTACCAGGCTATGCATAAGGCTTTATGCAGGAGGCTGTGTTGCAGTCTTACTGGCTCCCAGACATTCCTGGAGCTGCCTTCTCCTGTCCCCATCATAGTCCCCCCTCCCATGAAGCTTCTAAGGGCCTCTTTGCGCATGTCTCTTTTTTTCCACCCACCCTTGGCCATTTGCCTCCACTTTTATCTTCTGCATGGGCAGGACTTGGCTCTCATAGCTACTTGGTTGTGGTCATGGCCATCTTTAATGCTTTTTAAAATTGCATACGAACTTCATTTACTTTGCAGCAAGAGTTCTTTCGACCTATGGAAAATTTCAGTTCCTTAAAAGTTCTAGCACATGAAATTGTAGCATTGGTATGTGTGTAGCTGCTTTCTGTGCATGTCAGATCCTACTGTAGCCTCATGAACAGAAAGGAGTGTCTGTATTATAGGGAATAAGTATTAAAAGAAATAGGCTGTCAGGGCTAGAAATCTTAGTCATATAGAATCTTTTTACTGTAATATTATGCTATATACTTTTAGAGATGTTCCCTGTGCAAGAAGTCTGTTCCTTCTTGCCAGCAATAATGCCATACAATCAAATTTTGGTACCAGTTTGGGGTCTCTTATTTAAAGCAAAGATATGTTCATATTTTTCCCATTTTTAAGATTTTTAAAAATTTATTAAAAAAAATTTTTTTAATGTTTATTTATTCTTGAGAGAGAGACAGATAGAGTGCAATCAGGGGAGGGGCAGAGAGAGACACACACACACACACACAGAATCCGAAGCAGGCTCTAGGCTCTGAGCTGTCAGCACAGAGACCGACGCGGGGCTTGAACTCAAGAGCCCTGAGATCATGACCTGAGCTGAAGTTGGACGCTTAACACACTGAGCCACCCAGGTGCCGTCCCCCATTTTTAAGATTTTTAATGTCATAGAATTTTTTTAAAATGTTTGTTTATTCTTGAGAGAGAGAGAGCTACAGAGCATGAGCTGGGCAGGGGCGGAGAGAGAGGGAGACATCGGAATCCGAGGCAGGCTTCAGGCTCTGAGCTGTCAGCATAGAACCCGATGTGGGACTCAAACCCATGAACTGTGAGACCATGACCTGAGCTGAAGTCGGACGCTCAACCCACTGAGCCACCTAGGCGCCCCTAATGTCATAGTGTTCTAACACGCTTTCCACAGATATGACCTAACAGATTGCTCCGACACTGTCTCCTTGTCGTTTGGTTGACAAATAGAACAACAGCTCTCCTACATGAAATATTTTGCAGTTACCACAGTTATATTCTTGCCTTTCACCAGCTTAAAATTAAATCTTATTTCTTTTTGATAGTTTGATAATGTAATAACGAGGTCTCCTAAAGGAATTCATCTGAAAGAACTCTCTATTTTAACAGGTTACCTTTGATCCAGAAGTATTTTTCAACATATTGCTTCCTCCTATCATATTTTATGCAGGATACAGTCTGAAAAGAGTAAGTGCTTTTGTATTTCATATACTTTGAACAACCTTAAACTCCACAGGCTTTGTCATCTTTGTTGCTTCAGAAACAGGCAGTTCTTTCCAGGTTTCCCTCCCTTCTCTCCTTGCTGAAATTGATGCCTGTACAAAAATTCTTTCTCTTATTTCCTTTAATGAATAATGCATTTAATATTAGCAAAGCAGACTAGAATAGAAAGCCTTTTCTTTTTCAAATAATTGGTAAGTATTCTACCACACTATAACTTTTTTTTTTTTTTTTCCCCAGAGGCATTTCTTCCGAAACCTCGGGTCTATCCTAGCATACGCTTTTCTTGGAACAGCGATTTCTTGTTTTGTAATTGGGTAAGTACTTGAAGGTGAAACATTTTTTTATCCTTCAAATGGCGCTTTTTAAATAATGTGTATTCAGTTTATGCAGTATTGTGCTCCTGAGCGCGTCTAAGGACCTTTTTCTGTAAAATGTATTCACATAGATAACAAGTTGTTTCAATTTTCCTTAAGGCCGGGGTATTCCCAAACTTATTTATTTATTTATTCTTAATGTTTTATTTATTTCTGAGAGAGAGAGAGAGGCCGCACGAGCAGGGGAGGGTCAGAGAGAGAGGGAGACACAGAATCTGAAGCAGGCTCCAGGCTCTGAGCTGTCAGCACAAAGCCCGACGCAGGGCTCGAACCCACGAACTGTGAGATCATGACTTGAGCCAAAGTCGGACGCTTAACTGACTGAGTCACCCAGGCGTCCCGCGGTATTCCCAAATTTAAATGACATGAGTTAAATTTGGGATTAGTCACAGAGTACTACAGTAGGCCCGTCTTCTTCTTCTTAGTATATTCTAACTTCCGTAACCGTTACTGTTTTCTCTAACGTCGAAATGTGTTCATTGACCAGGTCAATAATGTATGGCTGTGTCACGCTGATGAAAGTAACCGGACAGCTTGCGGGAGATTTTTACTTTACAGACTGTCTGCTGTTTGGTGCCATTGTGTCAGCAACTGACCCAGGTATGTGTCCATGAGAGGGGAGCTTAAGTTCTTAAGTACTTATGGTGCAGTGTTTTGTTTGCAGAAGGGCGTGTGTGCTGCCCTTCTTTAGGTGTAGAAATCCTAAATTCCCATAGTACTTCACTTTCCAGCTGTAGAGGAAAAAACAAAATTTATGGGCCCTTTTGGCTTAAGCATACATTTTATTGTTATTTTATTTTTATTTTATTTATTTTATTTTATTACATTTACTCATTACTGGCCCACAGTTTGATGCTATTTAGATGAGGGCTCTCAGACCTTTTCTTCAGAAATTCAGGTTGGTGTCTATCTTTAGTAATTGCTTATTTGGTGAATATGAACTAGATTAGTTGAAATGGGTAATAATGGTTTATTCTTTCAAGCTTCTGGAAAACCAGTTCCTTAAAAATCTTCTGTTTATATTCAACTATCTGCATTTAAGAGTAAGAAAAACAGTTTTTAAATGATTGTTAGAAGGCAGCTGTGTGGGGCACCTGGGTGGTCCAGTCGGTTGAGTGTCCTACCCTTGATTTCGGCTCAGGTCATGATCCTCGAGTCATGGGATTGAGCCCCACATTGGGCTCCGTGCCGACCATGGAGCCTCTTGAGATTCTCTCTCTCTCCCTCTCCCCCTCTCTGCCACTTGCACACTTGCTCGCTCTTTCTCTTTCTAAAATATAAATATGTCTATATATCTATATATCTATAAATATTTATTTAAAAAGAAGGCAGTTGTGCCTCAATAAGTGTGATTTGTTCTCATTGGTGGGCCTTACTATACATGAAAGAATTGTTTTTATAAAGTTGGTTTTATGGCTATGAAATAGTTTTGATATGAGCACAGCTGGAGAATGAATGTAATTCTATGGAGTTAGTTTGTAGTTTTCCTAATACAGCACTGGTGAGCCTCAGAACTACATTCACATCAGGAATCTAGAGAATATGCACACTGGGGGCGCCTGGGTAGCTCAGTCAGTTAAGCGTCCAGCTTCGGCTCAGGCTGTGATCTTACGGTTCTTGAGTTCCAGTTCCACGACGGGCCCCGTGCAGACAATTCAGAGCCTGGAGCCTGCTTCGGATTCTGTGTCTCCCTCTCTCTCTGTCTCCCTCCCCCAGACCCCCCCCCCACTCACACCCTGTCTGTCTCTCAAATATTAAAAAAATTAGAGAATATGCAAGCTGAAGACATAGCAACAGGAATGTAGACTGCAGTTTTTGAACTATGGATGCAGGGTTTCTTTTACTAGGCTTTAGGGCCTTGGCAGAGGTTTGTTCAGTTTTACTTTTTGCCCTCGTTCATTTAATCATCTACTTTAATTGTCATCCAGCACAATTAAAGGTAGGATCTTAAGCTTATCTCTGAATTCCTGTGTTAACTGATAACACAGGGCATTATATATAGGAAGTAGGAAAATATGTTCTCTGCTCTCTAGGAGATGATTTTATAAAGCTCAGAGGGCATTTTATTTTTTTAAATTCTTTTAATGTTTTACTTATTTCTGAGAGAGAGAGAGAGAGACCGCGTGAGCAGGGGAGGGTCAGAGAGAAAGGGAGACACAGAATGTGAAGCAGGCTCCAGGCTCTGAGCTAGCTGTCAGCACGGAGCCCGATGTGGGGCTTGAACCCACGAACCGTGAGATCATGACCTGAGCTGAAGTCAGACGCTTCACCGACTGAGCCACCCAGGTGCCCCTCAGAGGGCATTTCAGAGAGGCATTTGTACGGTTTGGCATTTTTAAAACAGAAAATCAAATTGCTCCCTTACAGACAATAAAGGCTACCACCGTACTGCTTAGAGCTGCTCCCATTATCAGTATGCACAGGATGGGTTTTGCAAGGAGCCAGTCGTCTCTATTTTCTGCGTCCTTTTGGCTTAGAAGCAGGGTCCTCGACTGTAATGTCTATGAGAAATCTGAGTCAATTGGACTAGCTACGTTACTTCAGCCTTCCGGTTTTGTTTTGGTTACGAAATACTGCCTGAATGGTTCTAGCAAAACTGTTTTTCTGGTATTAAATTGGACAGTTATGCCTCTTCTGAGTTATATAGGCATTTGCCCCTGTAAGAATGGTGTTACTTTCTAATTGTTTACTTATTAGAAGGGTGAGCTGTAAATCCTCTTTGCAAAATTCTTCAGCAGTGCTTTTGCCCTCTTTTTCTCCTCCTCTCGGTAAGCTTTTGTATCCATACGTTTCAGATAAAATGCTTTGCAGTAGAAACTGCATCTTTCAAAATGCAAGTTTCCCCTTTTATTGGTTGGCATTTGAAAGGGCTCTCCCATCTCTGGTTATAAGTTTCTTTCATGTCTGCTTGGGTGTGTCTAGGGAGCGAGCTGTATGTGACTCAGCAATCAAAGTTATAATGCAACTTCATTCTCATCTGATTTTCTAAGAATTCTCATAGAATTGTTGCCCGGAAGAAGGATTTTTTTTTTTCATCTTCTCAAGCTGTAATAGTCTCATCATTGGCTTCTTATTAAATTAAATATAGAAACTATAATCCTGGTCATAAATTTTATCTCAACCAATACCAAACCTGTGCTTTCATTTCCTACTGTCTTTGCAAAGAAAGGAAATTTGCAGGAAGAGATGCTTTTCATAATACCCTTCTTCATCAAAGCTTAATGATTGTCTGGTCTGTAAGAAATTCTGCATATATTCTTTATGGAAAAGAAATCTACAGGACAAGAATATTAGCATCTGCATGACACATGTAGGTCAACTCGGTCCTCCAACTTAGTTTCAGCTGTTTGTAAGGTAAAGGAAATATTGCAGGTGCACAATTAGGGAAAAGGGAAGTATCGACAGGAACTTACCTCATCTTTAATACGGTAAGCTAATGTTTATGGGGATTGGATCCTAGGAGGAAGAGACGAATTTCTAAGTAACCATTATAGTCATGTACGGAGGGGACTGTTATGTTTGTAATAACTAAATATTCCTCTGACGCTTTCTACTTGCTAGTGACTGTCCTTGCCATATTCCACGAGCTTCAAGTGGATGTTGAACTCTATGCACTTCTTTTTGGGGAGAGTGTCCTCAATGATGCTGTTGCCATAGTGCTGTCTTCGTAAGTGTTCTTTTTTCTTATTATATCCTGTATAGTCAATGTTGGGTACTAGGAACCACAAGTTACTTATTGAATGAAGTGCATTATGAATGCAGACATTTGAAAGAATGAAGCTTTTTATTTTTCCTCTTAAAGAAATGCATACTTACAGACAAGATGGAAAATTCGAGAAAGAACAAATGATATGTCCTCCTCACACCTAAAGACAGTTACTATAAAGATTCGAGGACATTGCCTTTTATTCTTGTTTTCTAGCCACGCTGTTTTTACAGAGTTGTGATTATGGTGTGTGTATAATTTTTTATTCTTTTTTAACATTATAATACGAACATTTCTCTTTTAATTAAATTAAAATTTTGGAACAGATAATATATTTATGTGGTTCAAAAATCAAAACTGTACAGAGAGGTGACATAGAAACCTCATGGCCTTACTCTTGTTCTCATCCACCTGTCCCCCCAGCCCCTGATATGTAACCATTTTTACTGAGTTCTTGTGTGTCTTCCTATGTCTTTATACAAATGCAAACAAACGCATGAATAAATATTCTTACTTGACTCTTGTTCTTATTTTCAAAGCATGATAAATATATTCGATACTAGCTTTCTCTCATACAACTGTATCCTGGAGATCTTTCCATGTCCATACAGAGGGTTTTCTCAATCTATGTACTGTACTATGAATTGTATAAAGTTTATTTAATCAGTCTCCTATTGCTGGAAACTTAAGAGTTTTCAATCCTTTGCTATCCCAAGCAGTGCTACAGTGATTAACCTTGAACTCACCTGTTTTATACATACAGTGGTATATTAGTAGGATAATTTTCGAGAAGTGAGATTAGCATGTTAAAGGGTAAATACATTTGTAATTTTGTTAGACCTTGCTAAATCGCCTGTCAAAGAGATTATGCCATTTTGCACTTCAACCACTGAATTATGGGAGCGCCTGCTTCCTCATAGCTTCACCAACAGAATATTTGTCAAACTTTTGTGTTTTTGCCAATTTGATGATTGAGCAATCCCTCGTTGTAGTTCCATTTGGGTTCCTCTTATTTAACATAAGCATTGCAGAAACACTTGTTAATTTTTAGAAGGGTCCGTTAATGCTCTTTTTAAAGACAGTTACTGAAACGAGCAATATTTTAATCTACTTTCAGGAATTACTATGTGTGTTATGAGAAGGTGTTTGCGGGTGAAGGAGTCTGAACCTCTGAGGAACTCAGTCCTGCCCACCTGCTCCTGCTAAGCGACTCTCTAGCCCTCTGGACAGTTGCCTTTACTCCAGACCATCTAGTGGCTGGAGGCTGGGGATTGGGGGTTGCTCAGTATCCTTCAATGCATGGGACGGCATTCGCCACCCGACAGATAATTCTCTGGCCCCAAATAGCAATAGTGCCGGGACCGAGAGACCCTGGTGTTCTAACCAAGGTCACTTGTACATTGTCGCTAACCATTGAAACTAGTACCACCTCCTCTTTTGTATTCTATCTTGTGTCATTATTTATGATAATAAAATTAATATGGATTCGTAACCAAAATTTCAAAGTATTTAACTTAGAAAGGAGAAAAATTACTGAAATTTCAGCTCTCAGAAATAACCACTGTTTAAGTTTTCATCCAGACTTCTCCTTTAGGATAGTAACATATGTATAAATGTAGTAATAATTTTAAGCAAACAAAGGCATAGTATTAAACATATTCATCTGTAACTTGTTTTTCTCGTTTGGACATTTTACTATATTATTTCTATGATCCTATTGTATGGATACACCAGAAATTCACCTCTCCTGTCCCCTGTTGATTAATGTGTCGTGTTTTCTATTATTGTATTATTGTGAATGGCACTGCAGTGCACATATTTATGTGTAAATCTCTATGAATCATTATGAGTACTTCTGTAGGCTATTTTTTAGAGGTAGAATTTCTGGGTGGCCCAGTCAGTTAAGCGTCTGGCCCTTGGTTTCGGCTCAGGTCATGATCTCACGGTTTGTGAGTTCAAGCTCTGCATTGGGCTCTGTGCTGACAGTGTGAGCCTGCTTGGGATTCTCTCTCTCCCTCTCTATCTGCCCCTCCCCCCACCCCAGGATAAATGACTAAAGTTAAAAAAAAATTTTTTTAAAAGAAGTAGAATTTCTAGGCCAATGGATATGATCAATAAAACATTGAGAGAGATAGTCCTATTTCCCTCTGAAAACAGATCTACTTGAAAGTTGCACAACATGTGAAAGGAGCCGTAGGTATAGTAATACCCAGTTTCCAGGGATGTAACACAAGAAAATAGTCCAAAATTTGTAAAAAGTGCAAATATGCTCTTTCACATTTTTGTTTAGGAAAAATATTAGAAGCAACTTTTAAATATCTAACGGTGGGAAAATAGTTAAACAAATTGTTAAATCCATCTGGACCATTTTTGAAGTCTTAAAAACCATGGTTAGAGAGACTAATAATTTATGTCATTGTCAGATGAAGAAGCAGAATTAAAAACCATATATTCCCTATAATTACAACTAAATGTGAAATAGCACACATGTAACAGGAAGAGGGGAAAGAAATATAGAAGGCAAATAAGACAGCTCTGTCCAGGCAGTAGAATGAAGGAATGATTTTTCCCCCTAAATTGTATATTGTATTACTTTTGGGATTAAAAAAGGTATTTATAGGGGCACCTGGGTGGCTCAGTCAGTTGAGCGTCTGACTTCAGCTCACAGTCGATGGGTTCGAGCCCCATGTCAGGCTGTGTGCTGACAGCTCAGAGCCTGGAGCCTGCTTCAGATTCTGTGTATCTCTCTCTGCCCCTTCCCTGCTCACGCTCTCTGTTTCTCTCTCTCTCTCTCTCAAAAATGAATAAGCATTAAATATTTAAAGTATTTATAAAAATATTGCTGCCTCAAGATAAAATATTTGTGGAAGAGATGAGTTACGATTTCAATTCGGAGGCCAGCATTAGATAAGAAAAAATAAGCCTCTTCTCTGTTCTCAGCCTACCATGCTCTCGTGTGTTCTTGTACATTTTAGTGATTAAAGAACAAAATAATGACTAGTGTGAGTCTTGAAGTTACATGAACGAATCCACGGAAAGCAGTCTTGGGAGGCATGGCATAGATATTTTGTTCCAGCCAGCATTTTGAAAACTGTCACCAGAGAGAAAGAAAGTTGTAGCAGCAAGAGCCTTTCTCTTCTCCAGCTAGCTGCTACATTTTCCTGTTACTGTGTGGTCAAATCTCATTTGTGTTGGTGAGGCCTTTTATGTATAGGTAAGATAGCATGACATTAGAGGCCATTTCTTATTTATTAAATATTTTTTTTAACCTAACTGGGGAGGTATGAAAAGAACTTGGTGTACATGGCATAGCAAGCCCATTTTGCAGCCTTGAATCTTAAAGAAAACATGGCAGTAACCACAGGGAGAATTCATTATTTTCCTAGGAACGTGTTTTTTCTCCTTCTTTTCTTTGACGTGACTTATAAAATATCTTTGGGTCTAGACTTTTTATAAAAACACTGGGACCTCAATTAACTGAGATGAGAACTGACTTAGTAATGGCAGGGTACTCTCACCAGACACCTGCTGGCAACTGTGATTTTCTCAGCCATTTCTATTTCCTGGGGTGGCTCTTCTAAAAAGAAGCATTTTTAGACCAGGTTTGGACTGTAAGTTCAAGATGGAGGGTGTCTCCCATAATTGCCAGTCTTGGCCTGTTCCAGAGTGACTTTCTTTCAGAAGTTTGAGGTGGAGACCCAGCCGGGCAAGCTAAAAGTATTGTCAAGTGGATTTTAATTCTTTGGATGGACTTTCAGGCCCATTTGCCTGTAAAAGTCCATTTCAGTGAGTGAATGGATGTTAGGCATTGGGCCCATTCTGGTATTCTAAAAGTCGACAGGGAGAACAAAATGTGACCTGGTTGAGTATTGAGCAGTATTATTTATATTCTTATCCCTCTGCTGGGAATCAGTGGAATTTTTCATTAGTTTGTTCACATTAGGGTGTGAGGGCTTGTAGGCACTCAGTGCTAGTAAGTCTTAAATAGACTCATAAAAGACTAGTGCCGCACAGGATGTTGTCCCTGGGAAAGAAGGCTTGGTGCAGCTTCACAGAGAGCCCCTTAAAATGTTCTGTCTCCTGAAGTGGTCCTTTACGTAAAAGTGGAGTTTTCTTGCTAGTTGGACCCACCAAGGGTGTTTTAGTAACCTTTTGTCCTTGTTTTGGCAATTGGAATAGAAAGTTTTTGTTCTCTCCCCGCCAACCCCTGCCCGGACCCCAATTTCATCTTTTGAACCCTACTACACCAGATGATGTATTTATTTATTTATTTATTGTTTTAGATCGTTTTTAAAGTAAAAGCTGCTTCCAGAAGTAAAAACAGTGTCTCTTTTATAGCTCAATAGTGGCATACCAGCCAGCCGGAGACAACAGCCACACCTTTGATGTCACAGCCATGTTCAAGTCTATCGGGATCTTCCTTGGGATCTTCAGTGGATCTTTCGCAATGGGTGCCGCTACTGGCGTGGTGACAGCTTTAATATCCTTTTACTGATTTTCCCTATTAATGCAACAAAGTGGTTGAATTACTGTATTCTACGGTCTCCTAAATTCCGTAATTGTCCTTGTGTTCTAATTAGTAACCTTATAGCCTTCAAGCACTTGGCTTGAAAACATTAGGCAATCATCTTTAGTGACAATTTAATTAAAGGAATTTCATCGCTTTGCATTTGGCTCCATGCCCTCAAACCTTCACTACAAAAGTCTAATGAGAGACAGTGAGCCCTCCAAGCTTGTAGACTAAATGGATGTAAAGGCAAATATATCTCACCAAGCCTCTGGGTATTCCACACGGCTCTTTGTTTGCTCCTTGTTGAATAGGACACACAGACATGTGCGACCACGATGCCAGTTGAACAAAAGAGGCTTCCTGGGTTTGGACAGATGGGAGTTCATCTCAGCTCTTAGCCGGTTTTAATCTTCTGTTCCAGAGGCTTTGGCATTGCCACCGGTCTGCTTTGGAGATGTTGGGCAAGGTACTCTTATGTTCAGTCAAAAAACACTTCCCGATTGCCTCCTACATGCCAGATGCTACGCTCTGGGCATCAAAGATGGACAAGACGCACGTGGCCTCTGCCTTCCTGGTGCTTCCTGTGTAGGAACACCGGCATTTCGCCTCTGGGCCCTCGGTGTAGGAAGGTGGCAGGTGGGGCCAGCAGGGAAGATGACTGGGACTAGATGACCTCTAAAGAGCTTCCAGTTCTAGAACTCTTAAGGTCATTTTTATACGAAACAAATACTCTTGGGGGCACCTGGCTGGCTCAGTCAGTGCATGTGATTCTTGATCTCAGGGTTGTGAGTTCGAGCCCCACATTGGGTGTAGAGACTACTTAAAAATAAAATCTTAAAAAAATACTTTTTTCAAGGATCTGTTAAGTTTGCTCTACTTCAGCTTTGTGCTGGAAGAGACTTGTCTTACGGCTTTTTACAGGTGAACCGAGGCACAAAGAGACAGTAAGATGTTCTGAAGGAGGAGGCAGGACAGATTGTATCCCTGCCCCATTAACAGTCTCCTTGAGGGTAGGGAGCATATCTTGTTAGTAATCTTGTTGTGGTGCATGGTTGTTGAAGCGAACGTAGACTCCAGTCTGGGATTTGTCACAGGTCTACACGGGCCCTTCTCCCGTTGACCACCATACTTTTCAGATTAGTGTATATGGGTGATGAGCCTCAGTGTCTTCAGCGCAGACGACGCTGCGTCCCACAGGTGCTAGGGGATCAAAGGTATGCCAAATGTCATGGAAATGCCATCATTATGGAAGTTGTCCTGCTTTGGGTTGCAGATTACCAGTCAGAGGTGGCATGTTGTGCGTCTGCTCTGTCACTCCCGGCTCTGCCGGTCCAGCGAGGCACTTGGTACCCCCTAAAACAACCAGATTGACAAAACTGTGCCGCCACCTCTCGGAGGCAAAGACTGCTGCCTCCTCAGTACGATGCGCATTTTACGAGTTCCTTCACTTTGGTGCCTCCTTATCCCATGACTTCTGCGTTAGACTGGAAAACCCTCCTTGTACGGTTGCCTTGCTTCGCTTTTTATTTATTTTTTTCCCAGTGGCACTTCTGTATTATGAGATCTCGTTACTAACCTTGACAGCCTTACGTGACAAAGTTCACCAAGTTACGGGAGTTCCAGTTGTTGGAGACAGGCTTGTTCTTCCTGATGTCCTGGAGTACTTTCCTCTTGGCTGAGGCGTGGGGTTTCACAGGTAGGGTCCTCTTCCCTTTTCATTGTAAACCTTCACAGGGAGTGACCTTACTGGTCCGTTTTTTCTACCTGTGGGCAGAGCTTCTAGCATTTGAACAGACTTGTTAGGGTTGGCATTTATGTGGTTACCTTATATAAGAAAGATTTTTCGTGGACGTGGCTCCTCTTAAGGTAAGTGACAACTGGAAACATCAACTCTGAGCCCACGATCTTCTGTAAAGTAAAAGCCTCACTCTGAAAGTCGGGAATTCTCCTTTGATGTGAACTTGGAACTTGTTGTCTTTGTAGGTGTGGTCGCAGTGTTGTTTTGCGGCATCACACAGGCCCATTATACCTACAACAACCTGTCCACAGAGTCTCAGCATAGAACTAAACAGGTAAGAGAAACTTTACAGTTTGTGAGTAAGCTTTTCCTCCTTGCAGCAAAACGGAAGTCTCTTTTTTTTTTTTTAACTGAAAAATCATCTTTAGTCGGTTCCAAACAGTGCCTACTCATTCCAGCGTCTCTTGCTTTGACTCCAGAGATGGATAGGATTGGGAGTTTGCAGGGCGGCAGGTCTTAGGGTAGAGATCGTTCAGCAGATTAGCAAGGGGCCATCATCATCATGGCTCCAGTGATCAGTTAGCTCCCTTTCCCTGTTTTCCTAAGAGGAACATCCTAGAAGTTCTTCCAGGTCTGACTACAAGTACCGCTGGGTGATAGAAATGAGATTCATTTCCAACAGATCTGACTGGATCTGTTGCCAGGTGATCCAGAGAAGATCGACTTCCTCTCATGCACCGCACAGCTGCTGCATTTCCAGGGATGGCGGCTCCACCGGTGGTCGGATTTCCTACGGCCCGGAACGATCAGTTGTGCAGGGTACCTGAAGGGGATTCTAAAGGAAATCGGCACAGTGTTTTCTAGTCTTACGAAGTGGATGGAACACGTGGATGAACAATATGTAATGTCCGGAATAGAAACCACCGCATACCTGGCCGTGATCGTATTGAGAAGCCGAAGCTTTCTGTCCTGCCAAATGATTAGAACGCAGTGAGATTACCCAGGAAAGGAGTCCTGAAAAAGCAGGAGAAAATGTCCCCATTCCTTTCTTCTTTCTTCTGGAGCCACAAATGTGGTATATGAACCTGAGCTTTTTTCCTAACTCCTCAAAAGAGATCAGACTTTTCGTCCCCAAGCATATATATTGGGGCTACAGATCCCTTTCACAAATGCATTCACTGCAATAAGTGTAGAGGAGAAAATCAGCTGGGGTATCTGGCGTTTCTTTAGGCAACGGGCGGGGAATGCGGAAACGACAAGGCAGGAGTCTCCAGTCTTGTTGGTGATATGAAGCTTGTCCAAGAGTGGAAAAAAATCCCAGACTACTAGACCTTCTAGATTGTGCGTTTCAGGTGATATGCATACGAGAGGTCGGAGAAGTGCAGAAGTGGTTTGAGGCCTGAAGAGGCAGGACAACTATCACAGGAGACATGGTACACCTAGAAAGACGGGAAGGATTCGGAAAAGCATAGTAAAAGCAGAAGCGGATGTGAGGGCGATCTGGCTGCGACATCTGTCACCCCATTGATCGCCAGGGTTGATTCCGCTGATCTGGCTGGCTAGGCGGGCGTCCCCTTCCTCCCTCACCGCTCCATGTGTGTCCCTTCCGAAGCTGTGCGCTCGGTCGAAGAGGATGATCTTCCCCAATAGAGGAGGACTGTTCTTCGGTCAAGGGTATATGAGTAGCTGCGCTCCCCTCCGGGAACCTCCAAACAAGCTCTCAAGGTCCATTCGTAGGAGAACGTAGGGTAGTCAAGCTTCCAAGACTCTAGACACATTCAAATGAAAAAACAAAAAAGAAATGATAAAAAGAAAAGGCAAAAGCATAAGGAAAAGAGCCACAGGGGAAACCATACCGGTAAAGGCGGGAACAAAACGTAGGTAACGTTAGCGAACGGAAGGCCGTGCTGTGTGGCACGGGGGTTGGCAGCCAGTGGCCAGACCTGCCTGTGAGGTCTGTGAGCTGAGGGGGATGTTTACGTTTCTCAACGGATGGAAACAGATCAAAAGAAGAAGAATATTTTGTGACACATGACAGTGAAATGAAACCCAGAGTTCAGTGTCCTCTAGTGGTTTTATTGGCACATTGCCACAACTTTTTTTTTTTTTTTTTTTTTTTTTACACGGCTGCTTTTGTGCTGTGGTGGCAGAGCTGAGTGCCCGTGACAGGGACCGTGTGGCCTGCAAAGCCTCAAATATTTACTTTCTCTTGGGTCCTTCACGGGAAACATTTGCCCCCCAGCCTTGGTGATGTGGTGTTAAAGCAGAGAATCTGTGTTGTTCCAAACCCTGGTTCTAGTACCTGCTGGCTGTGTGTCCGGGGGCAAGTTACATAACTTCTCTGTTAATATCTTCACTGTTAATATCTTTAAAAGGATAATAATAGGACCTACCTCATGGGGTTGTGAAATTAAAACCATATAATGCTTGTACAAGTCCTGAGCATAGTACCAGGCACATAACAAAAACCGTTTTAGCTATTAAACTAAAAAAGGTTAGCTTTGTAATTAAGCAGATAAGTAACTAATAATAATAGTCTATTAAGTCGCTTAAAGTAAATTAAATATATACTTATTTCCGTTACTAATTCCCATTTTTCTAGAATGAGGCAACCACAGTTTAGAAAGGTTAACTTGCCCAAAGCTGCGCAGCCAGCAAGCAGGAAAAGCAGGATTCAAGCCAAGGCATTTTCACCCCTGGGCCCATGTTGTTACTTACCCACTACCCCATTTAGTGGGCCAGAGGGCTCATGTTCCAGAGCGGTGGTAGATAACTGTGATGGACAGACAGATGCTGGATTACGGGGGTCCTGGACGTCATTCATTCGGCAAATCTCGAATCCCTGTTGTGTCAGTACCACTTGACAGGCAGTGGTGTGAGCAGGCGGGAGGAGGCAGGCAGCTGGGGAGGGCACAGCACACGGCTGTGACGTGTAAGCCCCTGCTCCCTAAACGGGGGCTGGGACCCATGTAAAAAGTGACATCACACGAGGCGGTGGTACAAGAGTTGTCACGAAGCATTTAATGCCCAGAGAAACGAATTTGAACTAGATCTACGAGCCTGAAAGAGGGAGGTGTCTTCAAACTGGCATGCTGAGAGAGCCCCCCTGGGTGAGGGTGCAGGAAGGGGGTGGCAGGGACACAGGTAGGGACCCTGTGCGGCAGTGGGCGCGGGCAGTGATGGAAGCCCAGAAGCCAGACTAACGCAGGGGCGGGGGCCGCAAGGAGCATCCCCAGAGGAAGCTTGAGGGTTTGGAGGAGGAAGAGGAGAGCGACTGAACATGGGGACTGGGCCCAGGAAGCCGATGGCGGGACGTGCGGAGGCAACATTTCTGGCTCTTTCTGTGGGGCTAGAAATGTCCTCTCTACATTGGCTCCCCTGGGAAGCACGTATTTTGGGGATGAACGTGAGCTTTACGTAGGTGAGGTGTCTGCTTCATTATCTTGGTGATACTTCGTGTTTTCAAATGATATATATAACTTAATGCATTTACTGGACTAACCTTTTAAAATTTCGTTTCAGTTGTTTGAGCTTCTCAATTTCTTGGCAGAGAATTTCATCTTCTCCTACATGGGACTGACACTGTTCACCTTCCAGAACCATGTCTTTAATCCAACTTTCGTAGTCGGCGCATTTGTATCCTTTATTATGTGTTCTGGTTTGTAAACTTCTTTTCACTTGAGGTTTGCACTTGTTTTCTGGAGGGGGTGGTTGATATGAATACATTTAAATATATGAAATGTTCCTCTGAGTGAAACAAAGAAGGATTTCAACTCTTTCTTCTCTTCTGTTGTATTCCACCCTCTCTTCATTTTTGTTGAGTGCACAAACGACACAGGGCAAAATGACAGAAGAGAGTCTCCACCCATCCCCCCAGTGAGCCCCCCTCATCCCCCCGGAATAAAACTGTCCTGTGTCACTGAAGGGGAGAAAGGGAGAGTAGATCCCGGGGAAGAGTTAGTCTGCTCCTTAAGGCAGTGGCTGCAGGGTGGTGAAAGGCCGAAGGAGGCTGTCTTCATCTCTGTGTCTGTCTTTACAAAGCAGCCCAAATGGAAAAGCCGAGTACGTGAAGGCGAGTGCCAGCCTCAGGAGAGAGCAGGAGAAAACGGAATCTAACACAGGTGGAGTGGGGTTGGCCTCCAGACGCAGGAGGCCCCGCCACTGTCCCAGCGGAGGACAGGGTGGGTAAAGAGGCCAGTACGTGTGTAAGCTGGCAGTCCTGTCCCCAGCTTCTATTTTTATCTGCAGAGTAGGAGGTGAGAGCACCTGTTGAGAAGGAGGGAGGAGCAGGGCGCCTATCACTTTTCTGTTGTGTGACAAATTAGCCTAGAATTTCGCAGCTTAGAACAACAAACCTGTATTACCTCACACAGTTTCTGAGGGTCAGGAATCCAGGAGCAGCCTGGCTGGGTTTTGGCGCAGAGGTCTTGTGTGAGGTTACCGTGTTGCTCTGGGCTGGGACTGCACTCTCTCTGGACTTGACTGAGGGTGGAGGATCCTCCCCAGGCTCGCTCACATGGCTGTTAGCTGGAGGCCTAAGTTTTTCTCCAGGGGACCTCTCCATGGGGCAGCTCACCATATAGCTTCCCCCAGGGGGAGCGACCTGAGAGAGCACCAAGAGCGAAGCCGAAGTGCCTCTTCTAACCTAATCCCGGAAGTGACCATCGTCCCTTCCACCACATCCCGTTGGTCACACAGATGGACACTGATACAGTGGGAGCAGGGACGACACGAAGGTGTGAGCGCTAGGGAGCAGGGGCTGTTGGGAGCCATCTTGGAGGCTGTCTTCCACAGGTGACAGGAGGTTTGAGGAGGTTTGGAAATAGTTGTAGAGAGTGGGGGAGGGAGGGAGGGAGAGAATGAGCTGACCAAAGAAACGCAGTAGGATTGCCGAGCGGTATTCAGGACCCATTTGAGTTTGAGGAATAGATACTAACATTAGAACCAGCCTGCCCTGTTGTATATTTTGTCCAGGAGTACTTGGCTGGGAGCACGAAGAGCGACATGGGTCCTTTCAGGTTTCGGGTTTAGTCCAGTGACTGCAGTGAAATCCTAGAGAGAGGCAGATGAATGCAGGGTACAGGGAAGACTGTTGTTGTTTTAACTTCTTTTTTTTTTTTTTTTAAGGTCTTAAATTTATTTTTTTTAAATTTTTTTTTTATGTTTTATTTATTTCTAGGAGAGAGAGAGAGACAGTGTGAGCAGGGGAGGGTCAGAGAGAGAGGGATTCACAGACTGAAACAGTCTCCAGGCTCTGAGCTGGCAGTCAGCACAGAGCCCGACGCGGGGCTCGAACCCACGAACCGCGAGATCATGACCTAAGCGAAAGTCGGACGCTTAACCGACTAAGCCACCCAGGCGCCCCTCGGTTTTAAATTTATTTTGAGAGAGAGAAAAAGAGAGCGTGAGTGGGGAAGGGGCAGAAAGAGAGGGGGAGAGAATCCCAAGCAGACTCTGTGCTGTCCGCACGTAGCCTGACAAGGGGCTCGATCTCACACACTGTGAGATCATGACCTAAGCCCAAATCAAGAGTCAGGCACTAAACCAACTGAGCTGCTCAGGCGCCCCGCGAAGAGTGTTAATAAGATGTGGCTGAGGACAGAAGTAAAGAGGGGAGAAGGCTGGACTGGTTGTTTGAGGGAAGAACCGAGAACTCTTAGGATGGGAGGTCCCAGGGAGGTGGGGGAACCATCCAAATGGGAGAGCTAAACGTGAACCCTGGAAGCAGAGAGTGCGGTTAGAGAGAGGGATGTTTGAATTAGTGGTTTCCAAAAGAAATAGTTTTAAAAACCTGCTTCAGAATGACGTGTCTGCTAAAGAGATTACCAGAAATATTTTTAAAATTAAGACTCTAAGTACCATTTCTCTGAGAAAGTGAGGCATTACTGAAATGTTTTCTGGGAATGAACTTCAGGTGAGAAAGAGAAAACCCTATCAGTAAGAGAAGAACCATAGCTCGAGGACTCCCGTGAGATCAGTAGCTTCATATCCTGCTAGTCTTTGAGAATATTTTAGAGCAGGCAAGTGGCTTGATCCACTGGACTTATCCAGGAATGAGGCTAACTATTCTCCAGAGGTTTCTGAGTCTGCTAGGAATTCAGGTTCCTCAATACAAAAGCTGACCATGAAAATGGACTTTTACCAGGAGAGAGCTGTCCCCTTGCTGGCTATATTAGTTAGGATGGAGGTTTGGTTTTATGTGACAGTGACCCAGATGAACCCATGTTTGAGCAAGGTAGAAGTTTCTTTCTTTCTCGTGTAAAAGTGTGACCTGGTGTGGCAGCTCTGCTTCTTGAAGTCGTCAGGGACCCGAGCAGCCTTCCCGCAGCCATCCTTTGGGAATTGCCCTTATTTGTAGGGGCCAAGGTGGCTCAGCCCTGTGTCTGCCAATTCTTGTTAAAAACATGACCCAGAATAGGTACACATCACTTCCACTTCACATCGTTGGGTTACACCTACCTGCAGGAAAGGCTGGGAATTACGTTCTTTATCTGGGTGCCCCATGTACACAGATGAAAATTGGAGGTGGAAGTGAGGAGCATCTCCTCCTCGAGAGGAAGGGAAGGATAGGCATTGAGGATGCAACTCACTGTCACTGCCACGTTGGCCTACCTGTTTTGTTGTTATTTTCTTTTTTCTTTTTCCAAGGAATCACTATTTTTTTTAAATTTATTGATTTATTTTTGAGAGACTGAGAGACAGCATGAGTGAGGGAGAGGCAGATAGGGAGAGAGAGAACCCCAAGCAGGCTCAAACCCACGAAACCGGGAGATCATGGCCTGAGCCAAAACCAAGAATCAGATACTTTACTGACTGAGCCACCCAGGCGCCCCATGGAATCACTATTTTTAATAGCCTTTGTATTCTAGAGTAGATTTCGATTTACAGAAAAATCGCAAAGATAATGCAGAAAGCTCTCATATGCTCCACGCCCACGTTCCCCGTTACTAACATCTCACACTAGCATGGTACACTTGGCACAATCCATGAACCAAGATTGACACGTTGTCATCACCTGAAGCTCATGCTTTATTAAGATTCTCAGAATTCTTCCCTAATGGCCTTTTTCTAGTCCAAAATCCCACCCACGATGCCACCTTTTGTTTAGTTGTCCTGCCTCCATAAGTTCTGGCCGACTGTGACAGTTTTGCAAACTTGTTTTTGATGGCCCTTGATAGTTTTGAGGGGCTGCTGGTCAGATGTTTTGCAGAATGTGTCCCAACCAGAATTTGCTGTCTTCCCCATGGTTACTTGGAGTTGTGCGTTCTTTGGGGAGGAAGACACAGAGGGAAGGTGCCATTCTCCCCACGTTGTATCAAGGCTGCGTACTTACGGGCACATTAATAATGTTGGTGTTAGCCTTAATCACTCGACTGACCTAGTGTTTGTCAGGCTGCTGCCCTGTAAAGTTACTCATTTTCCCCCTTTCTATGTCGTAGTGCTTAGAAGGGAGTCACCCTATGCGGCCCACACGTGGGGAGCAGGGAGTTACATTCTGCGACCTCAAGGAGTTCTTTCAATAAGGTGTTTAACTGTTCTCCATTTATTGTTTTATTGTCATTTATTGTCATATCAGTATGGAATCAGTGATACTTATTTTCTACTTTGGGTTATGATACATTACTGCTTTTTAAAATTTTGTTGCCCAGACTGTTCCAGCTTTGGCCATTTGGAACTCTTCCAGTGGGTACTTTGTCCCTTTGGCACACCTCCACCATTATGTGTTTTGAATTTTTTCAAAGTTTATTTATTCATTTTGAGACAGAGAGCATGAGTGGGAGAGGGGCAGAGAGAGAGGGAGAGAGAGAATCCCAAGCAGACTCTGCACTGTCAGGACGGAGCACAGCACAGGGCTCGAATCCGCCAACCGTGAGATCATGACCGGAGCTGAAACCAAGAGTCGGATACTTAACCGACTGAGCCACCCAGGTGCCCCAAAGTTTTGTTTGTTTGTTTTAAAGTAAGCTTCACACCCAGTGTGGAGCCCAACGTAGGGCTTGAACTCACAAGCCTGAGCTTGTGACCTGAGCTGAGATCAAGAGTCAGATGCTTAACTGATTGAGCCACCCAGACACACCTTGAACACTTCCTCACTTTCTAGGGAAGATGCTTCATGCTCATCTTGTATATTTTCTGCCCTGGTCTTGAATCAGCCATTTTTCCAAGGATCCTGGTTCCTGTTATTGGGGAGTGTTATTAGAAACCAGGATCTGGGCTCTAGTGTATTCAGTGCCATTGAGGTGTCCTGGCTTCTAGGCACTGTCAGCTGACACAGGGAGGAAATATGTACATATATGCTAGCTCCTATACATACATAAATCTATAAATCTGTATGTAATCATCCATATGTCTAGTAAGCTAAGCATGAGTTCATACTGATGTCTCCAGCTGTAATCCATGATCATGTGCATCATCCTGCCTCCTCCTCTTGAAAGTCTGGTTCAAGTATAGTGAGAAGCCTAGCTCCCACTGTCTGCCATCCCATTCACTTAATCGTTCCATTGCAGCATATGTAGGAGCATCGGAACTGGTGCTCAGTACTCCCATGGGAAACGACTTTACCAATGGTCGTATGATGTCTGTGTGCGGTTCCTCGTGCCTTTAGTCTTACAGACTGTCCACTTCCAAAGTTCCTTAGGTCAGCACTGTTTACTCCACCTAGTTTGTTTTTTCTCCTCCCCCTCTTCCTCTTACCCTGTTTTGTTTTCCATTGTAAACGTTCCTTTATGTTCCTTTTAGAAAATGGGGTGGAGACTGCATTATGACAACTGAAATAAAAATTGTAATTGCAAAGCAGGAGTCTCTATCACAGCAAACTGGGCAAAAAGACACAAGAATTGGTTTCTAGTTGAAACCAGTCTGAATTCCCATGAAGCCTTCCCTTTGAAGCAGGGTGGAGGTATAGACTTGGAGGAACACACCAGGGCAAGCAGGAATTTCAGTGGTATGAAGGGTCCGAGCTGCCCTTTTCTTTGTTCTGAGGAAGCAAGGGCAAGTTTAGCCACTATTGCTCTCCCTCCCACCAGCACTGACAATTAAGATGACTTAACCTAGTATATTCATAATCTCATGGGTATACCACGGAGGATCAGCTTTTAAACATGTTTCTGTTCATCTGTGAGTTTCCTATATGTTAGAGCTGCACTGTCCAATTTGGTAGCAATTCACTGTATACAATTATTTAAATTTAAGTTCATTTAAATGAAATAAAACTGAAGTTTTAGTTCCTTGTCACACTAACCACATTTCAGGCGCTTGCCACGTCGGACGGTGCCGATACAGAACATTTTCACCATTGCAGAAAGTGCCATCAGACGGTGCTCTGTTAGTAGAAGTAAAAGATGGTCGGAGACTGAGCTTCTGAAGATGGCCTTTTGCCATCGTGAACGTGTCGTCTAAATAACATTAACATTAAAAAGAAATTCGCCTTAACCTATTAATTTTAGATTGCTATTTTCTTGGGAAGAGCTGCTAATATTTACCCCTTGTCCCTCTTACTCAATTTGGGTAGAAGAAGTAAAATTGGATCCAATTTTCAGCACATGATGATGTTTGCTGGTAAGTTGTAACTTTCCCTCCCTTAGCCCACTCCAAGAATCGCTCACGGCACATATGCCAGCTTGATTTTAAATGGAAATGATGTGCTAGTAATATGAGACTCCCTTAAATGTGCAAGTCGCAACCTCCAATAGGAAATTCTTTTTATAGTGTCCCATTCCCTTCTGTGAGGATTTTTTTTTTTTTTTTTGGTTTCAAATTCCTAGTCCAGAAATCCAGCACATGGTAGTGGACAAGATAAAGATTAATGTCTTTTCACACAGAAACGTGTTATGTGTTTATGGCACAATCACCCAAATCTGGAAGTAGCCCAGTGGGTGAACGAATGGGCAGACTAGAATGTCCGCGAGGCCATGCCGTGCCCCTCAGCCCTGAAACACCAAACTGTTGTTAAGCACAGCAACGTGGATGAACCCCCGAAGCATCGTGCCGAGTGAAGGAAACCAGTCTAGTCTCTAAAGGTTGCATTCTCAAAAAGGACAAAAACATAGTGATGGAGAATAGCTCAGTAGTTGGCAGGGGTGCGGCAGGGTGACAGAGAGGATGAGCTAAAACTGTGTAGCCCCAACGGATTCGGGGAGGCAGGTGGTAGGGGCGATGACCTTGCTCTGTGTCTTGGTCGCGGTAGTGGCCACGCAGTGGCATGCACTGTCAAAACCCATGGGGTCGTATACCAAGAAAGAGTGGGTTGTAGTGTATGTAAACCTAAAAATAAAACTAACTATGATTAAGGGGTCAGCGCGTGTCAGTATCATCTACTAACTCTCTTTCCCTGTATACGCTTTTGTATGTTAACGTAGTTCATGTATGTAATGTTCACGTGCTTCTGGGTTCTCACACTGTGCCTGATTTGTCTGAACTGACAAAGCTGGTGCAGGTAACGAGTGGCTGAGGGATTACCTCTCCCGTTCCCTTACAGGCCTCCGCGGCGCAATGGCATTTGCTTTGGCCATTCGAGACACTGCCACATACGCCCGGCAAATGATGTTCAGCACCACCCTTCTGATTGTGTTTTTTACCGTGTGGGTATTCGGCGGCGGCACCACGGCCATGCTGTCGTGCTTGCATATAAGGTAGGTGGCGCCTGGGGACCTCGTTTTAACTTTAAACTCTGATTCAGGGTTGGTTTTTTTTTCTTTTAATTATGAGAAAATTTCGAGCTTTGACGAATGTATGCTTTATTTTTCCTTTACAAACCTCTATAGCGTAGGACAGAGAAAATGGGAAATGTGCAAAAGAAAGTTAAAAGCCATTGTTCACACATCGAGACATGACCCTTCCAATATCTCTTGCTGTGTGTTATATATATTTTTAACAAGGGGGCAACACTACAGATATTCTTGTAAAGTGGTTTTTAAATTTAATCCAGCACGGACATTCATGTTAGTAAATATATTTACGTCATAACTTAATGGCTGAGTACCTCATGAGCTATTTAAACAAATCCCTGTCTTTGGACTTTTGCATTGCTTCTAGGGTTTTTCTGTTACCATTAACATTTGAGGACTTTGCTATTAGTATCACCATTAACAGTGTGAGCATCCATAAATGCACACACCACCGTGCATTTGTTTGACCACTTCCTTGAGATCCATTCCTAGGAGTGGAGTTGCTTAATCAAAGGGTATGCATATATTTAAGGCTTTTGATCCATATCACCTGATCCGATCACAAATGCTTCTTCTTGTCTGTAGCATAGGAGACAGTCCAGTTGATCCCAACCCTCATCAGTCCTCGACATTATCATTCTTTCTCAACTTGATGATCATCACTCGCGAACCTGCCAATCCGAGGCCAAGACTGTGAAGTGTTAGTGTTAAATGCATACTCGTTAATGTATTCAGTTGGAAAGCTCCCTGTATCTCAAGAGTTCTGCATTGTTTCCATGGATACAGCAGCCTGTGTTGCTAAAGCTTTTGTAGATTTTAGTTCTGTGTTTGGCTGAAACTTCATAGACCTTCTACTGAGCCTCTAGAATGTGTAGGGTTCATTAGAGAAAACAGTATTTCACATTTTATAAAATCTCTCCTCCGTGTTTTTCATTCCATCATGCTTTCTCTTAAACATTCTAAAGCCCAGCCAGCCCTAAGTCATGTTGGTATTGTTGTCTTTATTTGTTGTCTTTCTTTCTTTCTACTATTCAAACTCCTCTATCTTCCAATTTCTGTGCTACTGTTGTGTATAATCGAAAATAACATTCTTATGATCCTGACCATGACTTCAGGGAAGCCCTGGCATTTGTTGAGCACCTGCTATGTGCTGGTTATTGTGCGGAATGCAGTTCACATATTTATCTAATCACAATACCCCCATCGTGCAAGCAAGGAAATAGTGGCTTTAAAAGTTTCTAAGTTGTTCAGGATCATACAGAGAGTTAAGTAGCAGACAAAGAAGCCTCCAGTCTCACCTTTCTCGTGGACTGTGCTGCATCGAGAAAGGAGGGGGTTAAATTTTGGAAGGATTAAACTCTTTAAGAGCTTGTGGGTGATGATTCTCCTTATTCTACTAAGAAGAACAAAATTAAATATAAGACAAGTTATGAAAAATAATTGCTGTCCAGCAGAGTCTCAGTTCTGTGTCCTGTCATCCACACAAAAATACCCATGCTTACCCCTGTGCCCAAGAAAAGCACCTCTTCTCATAGAGCTGAATCGATCTCACCAGCTCTGCTAGTGCTTTGGCCCATCTTGTGTCCTGTAGCAGAGTTTGGCACTTAATTATATGCGTTGCCTTACAGTCTTAGGTTAGTTCTTATTGTGATTGTTTTGGGGTTTTTTGGCCTCTCTACGAGCAGAGGCTGGATTGTAAGTTTCTTTTCCCTCCCCTGAAATTTGTGTGGTGCAATTGTGAGGATGCTGACAAATCCTTAATGTTTAAAATGCATGCAGACTTAGATTTGACTCTGGGTTCTTGCTCCTTCATTCACCAGTTCTGTGATCTTGGGCAAGTTCTTTAGCCTTTGCGAGCCTCCGTTTCCTCATTTGTAACATGTGTATGATAGTATCTGCCTCCTCTGGGGTTGTTGTAAGGATTCAGTGAGCTGATGTCTGTAAAGCTCTCAGCACAGCAGTTCAGATGTGCCTTTTAGTCATTCATTTGATGAATACCAATTGATCCCAACCATGTACCAGGCACTGGTTTAGGCTCTAACTTAGTGGTTCTCACGTGGGGGTAGGGAAGGCATTTGGCAATGCCTGGAAACATTTTTGATTGTCACGATCAGAGAGAGGAGGCTGCTCCTGGCATCTCGTCGGCCGAGGCCAGGGAACGCCCCTAAATGTCCTCTAGTGCACAGCGCAGCACCCATCACAGCCATCTGGGCCAAAATCTCAATAATGCAAAGGTTAAAAGACCCTGCTCTGGAGGGAGAGGGATAGTGGTAGCAATAAGATTGGGATGGTCCCTCGTCTCATGGAGTCTACACTTTAGTGGGAGAAGACAGACAATAAGCTAGTAAACGAATAAATGAAGAAAACGATGTAGATGATAGTAAATGCTGTGATGACACACACAGTAGTGTGATTGTGACTGGGGATAGAGTGAACTTTATACCCAGAGGTAAGCTAAGGCCTCTTAGGTTCCATTTGAGCTCAGGTGACCTGACCAACAAGACACTGCGAGTTCAACAGTGAGCTGGAAGAAGAGTGGTCCAGGCAGTGAGGAAAGAAAGTGCAAAGGCCCTGAGGCAGGACCAACTTCGCCAGTTTAATGAACAGGAAAAAAACTCACATGGCTGGAAATAGTGATTGAAGGGTAGGTAGGAAATGAGGTGGGCAAGACCCTACAGGGGCAGGGGTTGGCAAACGTGTCCTATAAAGGGCCAGATCGTAACTATTCTAGGCTTTGCAGGCCATATGGTCTCTGTCTCCGCTCCTCAGCTCTAGCATGAAAGCAGCCGTAGACCACACGTAAATCAGTTGCGATTGCTGTGTTCCAACCAAATAGGAGGTGCACCAGATGTGACCTCTGGGCCGGAGTTCGGGAAGCCCTGCTATCTGGTCTTGTAGGACCTGCTGAGGAGTTTGGATTTTAAAATCTGGTTGGAAATCTTGTAGGATTTTAAAGCAACAGAGTGACCTGATCTGTTTTACGGTATGAAAGGATCACTCCAGCTGTTGTGCGGACAAAGGGTCCTCAGTGAGCTGGGGCCAGCCAGCCAGCTATCCCGATGTCCTTCCATGAAGCGTGTGACAGTCACACTCGACTCACTGTCATTTCCCGCACACGCTTGGCACTCCTCTGTCTCTGAGCCTTTGCTCCCGTTTCCTCTGCCTGGAAGTCTCCTTCACCCCCAGGAAATAGCACAGCTCAAACGCCTCCTGCCTTTGCCCTCTTCCGACCAGGCTGCTCTTCTGGGTGCTTCGCGCAGGTATCTCTATGACACGCTTACTTCGGTCAGCTTTGTGATGATGGTAGTGCTGTGAGAGCCACTATTTAGTGAGGATGAAGTGACACATCAGACACCTTTAAAACCTTTAGATACATTTTCTCGTTTAATCCTTGCATCAACTCCAAGTGGTGGACATTTCCCCCATTTTCCAGGTGATAATCTTGGAGTCCGTTGGGCTGCATAACCCGAGTTCACACAGCTAGGAAGGAGCTGAGGGATTGCGGATTGCGCCCTAGTTGTTTCTGTAGCCCTCGCTAGTCTGTGAGCTCTTGAGGGCAGGGACCGTGTCTCACTCGTGTCTACGCCCTGTGCCTAGCACAGTGCCTCGCAGGTAATAAACGCTCTAGAAACGTTTACTACACTGAACTGGCTTCCAGTAACGTTCTGAGTGTTACAAATGTGCTATCTCCAAGACCACTAGATGTCACTTTACATGCACAAGTGTGTCCAGAGTGTAAGATGGCTACGAAGGCATTCGGCAGCTTCTGGCCATTTAACACAGAAGAAACGAGCCTTTCTTTGAATTACAGATCTGGTCATGGCTGGCTGTTTTCAAGTACTTGACCACGATTCACTTGCCTTCCAGACGAGGCCTTGCATCATTTTTCTCCCTTCGGTGTGTTCGTGGTCCGAGATGCTACTGCTACGGCATCTCACGCTGCTGTTTTTTTCTGTGTTGTCTGTAGTGACCTTAATCAATAAACATTTGGGCACCTCTTGGGCATCAGGTACTGTGCTAGACTCTGGGGATACAGAGATGAATTGAGACATGGCCTTTACCCTCAAGGAGCTCATAGTCTATTTGGGGAGACTGACAGGTAAATAATTACACTCTACTGTGCTAAGTATTCTAATAGAGGAATCTAGAAAGTGCTGTGGAAGTATAGAGGAAAGAATGGCTCTACCTGGAAGGGTTCTGGAATGATTCGTTTGGAGTTAGGAGTCAGGAAAACATGAAGGACCCTATGTTTCAGATAAAGGGAAGGGCCCGAGCAAAGGCATGGAGGCTCGGGAGAGGACCGGCATTGGGGAGAGAAGTAGGTGGGTATGGCTAATATAGGACATGTAGAAGAGAATGAGGGGAAATGAGAGTGGAGAGGTAGGTCAGAGTGGCAGGGGTCACTAGTTTGTAGACAGTCTTCAGTGCTGCCCAAAGGGCTTTAGACTTGACTCTGTCGGTTGTACGCCACTCTCGGAGTCTTTTGCCAGCGGAACGACCCAGTGCATTCCACGCTTTACATACCTAACTCTAGGGGACAGCCTGGCAGCTAGACAACCTTTGGGCCCAACTACCACAGACCTCGTGACTCAGAGTGAGGCCTGAGCCTGAGCAGTCGGGATCGAAAGGAAAGAAGTGAGCAACAGTTTAGAGAAAGAATGGACAGACTTGGTGGGTGCTCGTGTGGAGGGGATAGACGAGAGTCCAAGAGAGCTTCGTAATGAAGCTGTTCCTGGGTTACAGAAAGCGGGAACTCTAAGCAGATAAAAGATAATTATGAAGCCCCGAGGCTAATATCTGTTCATCAGCCTATGAAGAAAACTGTAAGCGGGCCCTCTCTTCAGTCATCATAACAGAACGTTGCCATGAGAGCTGAGAGGTCCGAAAACACGCAGCCCCCTCCTGGACGTGCGTCGTGCCAGCCTTGTGTTCGGAACTGCCCAGTGGCTCCTATTCAGCAACTGGGGCAGCGCTGCTTTCCCCAGCTCTGCTCCTAGTGCGCTTCCGTTCAGAGACAAGAATGTAATTTTTCTGCAACTGGTGAGTGAGATTGCAGGAAGGGAATCATTAGTAGACCCTGCCTGCCTCAGGATCTAAGCTGTTGCTAAGGAAAGTGGCAGGAGCAAAAAATCAGCGTCAACAACCAGAGAGAAGCAAGCAAATATTAACCATTCCGCAGCTGGCATGGTAGGAAGAGTAGCTGCCTGCCACTGTACGTACGTGAAATAGACCTTGACTTGGCCTCAAAGATCTCATTTGCCTTTTGTGTTTCTCCTTTAGGGTTGGTGTCGATTCCGACCAAGAACATTTGGTAAATATGCATTTGTGTTGTCTCTAGCATTTTTGTCCAATGTGCAGCCGTTTGGAAAGAAAACGGTCTACTGTAGACTTCATGCCACTGTTATTTAGATCGTGTCCTGTTTGTACCAGCTTTTAACTGACATCATTCCTGGCTTTTCTCACTGCTTGATAGAGACACAACCAAATTTTAGACAACATGTGGTTATCAAGGGTGACAGCTCTCCTATCTGTGGGCCATTCCGGGCTTTAGCCATGGAGGGGAACGGTCCCTGAAGCGTCCCTGGGTTTTCAAGTGACTGCTCTGGCACAGGGAGCCTTTTTCCACTCTGGTTTGAGCATGAGGGCTTGAGTCTGATGTCAGCCCCGCTCCAGCTGCTCTTCCTGTGTAACTTTCAAATCGGATGAGCAGCAGCTGCCCTTGAGAACAGCCTGGAAGCTTTGCAGCCTTCAACCAGTCTTCCCTGACCGTTCAGGAGAAGGCACTTCCCTGCCCCGGGCCTCAACCTTGCTTAATCCTGGGTGTCCATTTCTCGTTTGTTCCCCTGAACCTGAGCCTGAGACTGACCATCCTGTTCTGTCTGCTTTTTTTTTTTTTTTAATAATTTTTAAAGTTTATTCATTTTGAGAGAGACAGAGAGAACATGAGCAGGGGAAGGGCAGAGAGAGAGAGAGGGAGAATGAATCCCAAGCAGGCTCTGCAGAGTTAGTGCAGAGCCCAGGGTGGGGCTTGACCTCATGAAACTGTGAGATCGTGACCGGGGCCGAAATCAAGAGTCAGACACTCAACCGACTGAGCCCCCTAGGTGCCCCGCCATCTGCTTTATAAGGATCTCTGACACCACTGAATACGTGACTCTGTCCTAAGACATTGAATGGCGAATCACAGAAATTCTATTTTTAAAGAGGGAAAGCATCTCTTCTAAAACACATTCTCTTTCCCGTCTGACACAAGCCGTGGTCTATTTGTCTTCAGGGTGTGGTTCAAAAAAAAAAATACATTTCTCAGATCCATTTCCTCAATGCTAATTTTGTCAGCTGTTGAGTGAGGAGTGCATAGGTAACATAGTAAGTACTTGGCCTCTTTTGTGGTCAGAACCATACAAGTGTAGTTTCTTGGGCTTGAAATACTGGCACAAACAAGGCCGGGTAAATCCCCATGACGCTGAGCGGCTTGGGGTAGTTTCTAAGGGATAGTAGCCCCTCAACGCCTCCACCCATGTCCAAACAAGAACAAAATATCATACAGCTCACCAGACAAATGCTTGGTCGTGATCCACATTAGCCTTCATCTGCTCTGTCACCTCGGTCACCACAGAGGAGAAATAGAAATGCAGAGAGAATGCCAGGTAGGTGAGTACCAGCTGGGGACATACAGAAAAAAATACCACTTTTCCCTTGCCCTCAAAACCCTGTGGGTGTCTTGGTTCGTTATATTGTTTAGTCTGTATTTTGTGTGTCCGCGGGGAGGCAGAGGGGAACGTGACAGTGAGTGAGGAGCCTGTGGGGGTCGGCGTCCAGGTTTCAGGACTGAGGGGATCATGAGATTTATAGACTAACTGCCCTTGAAACACAGAGGTTCACAAAGCTCTGTGTACTGGTGTGAAAGGAAGTACACCCATACTCAGGCATCCTTATGTTGTATATGCTTTGATACATCCCGAGAGGAAGATTTATTTCGTTAGACCAGGAAGGACAGGAAAGAACCAAAACCCAGAATCTAAACCGTGTTCTTCAAAAAGCACAGACCCATGGAACACGCACGCTGCGAAGGTCCTTTGAGATTCTCTAACGCTCACCCTGTGTACATGAGGAAATCCAGGCCCAGAGAGGGGAAGGGACTTGTCCAACCCAGCCCATGTCAGAGCTGAGATGAACCAGATCACCTAACTGCCCCTGCTGCTGACCGTACCACATGACAAGGATCCAGTTTGGTTTTGGAAGCTATTTTAGAAGAAGAGGCCTGCTTGCTGTGTTCGTTTTCCCTTCTGGCCAGTCCAGGCCTCCATGGAGTGTTTCTACTTTATTTTGCTGATGTTCTAAGAACATAGTAGCACCTTTGAAAATGCCAGTTACTTTCGGGACCCATAAACAACTCCCAAAGACAGAGATGTCGATGTGATGTTTTCTACTTAAGATGCAATTCACATTGTGGGTGTAAGTCTTTCAGATTTAAGGACAAATTATCCCACGTTGATTTTTTTAAATGACAGTAGACTCCTAAATCAGCAGGCAGCCTTGAGTAATAGAGGTGTTGAGAAAAACATTTCCATTTCATATGCCAAAGCTGCAGTATGCAAGCTATTAAACTTCTGATGTTACCCATGATAGAGAGTACCGTCTATGAAGTAGGCTGTATTTCCAAGTCTACAGAGAAATGACTCTAAATAAATGTGTCTTTTATCTTAGCGTATGGATTGATTTCTTTATTATCTGTTTGCAGGGTATTCCGGAAAATGAAAGAAGAACCACCAAAGCAGAGAGTGCCTGGCTTTTCCGGATATGGTACAACTTTGATCATAAGTATCCTTAACCAAGGAGGGAGTGCGGTAGTGTGTGCAGGGCCAGTTCCAATTTAATGGAACAGCTGTTTTGACCATTCCCTTCTGGAAGTGGAGTACAAAACCCACATTTGGTCTTCCCTTTCCCCTTCAGTGGAGTAGCTGGAGAAAGCTATTAAAGGAAACCCACACAGATGAGTCGCCCTGAAACCCCATGAACCCAGTAGGGACTGGTGAGTGCAGAGGCTGGCTGCGTGAAAGGACTCAGGAGGCTTGATGATAGACCCGCTCTTGTATATTGCTTTACTTACTGAGCAGTCATTGTCTTTTACCTAATTCAGTAGTCAGGGGCAGGCCCGTTTTCCCTGACCTTCCAGAAGCCTGGAAGATTCTCCTGTCTAGTAAGGGTGCCACTGTTTCGCTGTTCACCAAACCCCTTTCTTCTCCTCTCTGAACTGTCTTCTTCATACCTCTGCTCTGGGTTGTGTTATGTTCCATGACCTGTTTAAGTCATGCTTTTCAAAACATATTTTCTCTCTTACTATTTATTAAAATTAATCTCTTGAAAGTTGAATGAGAAAAAAGGACCATGGAGTTCTTTTAAGCTGAGGCTTATTAGCAAATGAATCAAAACCTGGTTCATGTTCTGCCGAAGGCAGTTTGGGACAACCGTGTAAACATTTTTACCTTGCTTTTGACTTTCTGACGAAAGCCTTGAATATTTAAGAAAAATGCACTTGGGGGGCACCTGGGTGAGTTCGGCTCAGGTCATGATCTTACAGTTCGTGAGTTTGAGCCCCATGTCAGGCTCTGCTGACAGCGTGGAACCTGCTTGGGATTTCTCTCTCTCTCTCTCTCTCTCTCTCTCTCTGTCTCTCTCTCTGTGCCTCTCTGCCTCTCCTCAAAAATAAATAAACTTAAAAAAAAAGGAAAATGCACTTGGCATTTTTCGTTAGAAGCTACTACTTACTATGTTCTATTTGCTGGATTTTTACAATCACTTTTTGCAGGTACTCAAAATTAACTTACTGTATGGGAACAACAATGCCATCATATCTGTTGTATTAAGACTCAGTAGGAGATCCTGGCTCTTTAAAATTGTTTAATGATTACATCATTACTTTTGGCTCCATTTTCAGCATTTTGGGTATAATCCACTCCCATATCTCTTGGGGCTTTTTCATCCCTCTGATTTCACAAAAAATGTTTAATATTTCCTGAATAAAATGTTTTGTACATCATCTGCATAATATATGTACAAAGCAAATAATCCTGATGTAGAGAAAGTGTAGAATAATAGCTTATTTTTCTGTGTATTTTTACAGAAGTAAGCGCTAAGATTTGTTTGACTCAGTACTACCCTTGTAAGTACTACTAGACTAAAACCCAGTAATTGTCATACCTAGTCCCCTAGTAGCATTAATCATTCATCACTCTAGATCTCAGTTCCTTTGTGTCACCAGATTATTTGTTGCAATTGAGCTGTAACTTAAATAATATATCTGAATCTTTAGCTCGTGCCCTGTGTATATGCCAGTGTGCTTGCTACCCATCTGAAGATATGGGGCGCCTGGGTGGCTCTCAGTTGGCTAAACGCCCGACTCTTGGTTTCGGCTCAGGCCATGATCTCCTCGTTCATGGGTTTGAGCCCCGCATTGGGCTCTGTGCTGACAGTGTAGAGCCTGCTTGAAATTCTCTCCCTCTCTCTCTACCCCTTTCCTGCTTGTGATCTCCATCTCTCTCTCTCTCTCTCTCTCTGTCTCCCCCCTTCCTCCCTCAAAATAAATAAATAAACTTTTAAAAAATTAAAGACACCTAAAACATCTCCAGCACCCCAGAAGCTGGCCCATGTTCCCTTACAGTCAGTAGTGCCTTCCCTGCACCCCCCCCAAAGGGCAGCCACTATTCTGATTTGTAGCAACATGGGTTTTCATCTTCATCTAAATGAAATCCTGTATTACATATTATTTGCTTCTTTTCATGTAGCAGCATGTAATTTACCCATACTGTTGCCTGTGCCCATGATTCATTCTTGTTCATTATTGTGTGGTGGTCCACAGGGTGAATACACTGCAGTTGTTTTTTTTCCCTCCTACCATTCCTCTGTTGAGAAGCAGTTGGGGCGTTTCTCGCCCTGGGCTGTTACAAACAAAGTCAAACCTCTGTGTGCGTGCGCATCTTGTGGTGGACATCGGCACTCATTTCTCTTGGGCATAGACGTGGGAGAAAAATTTAGGCCAGGTGTATTGTTGAACTTGACAAGATCTTGCCAGCCACTTTTCCAGAGTGGCTGGAACTGATTGCCCCTCCCACCAGCAACCTAAGGGAGTGCCGGCTGCCCCACACCTCCACCAAAACTTGATCTTTCATCAGCCTTTTAAATGTTAGCCATTGCAGTGGGTGTGTAGCGATACTGCATGTGGTTGAATTTGCAGTTCTCTGATGGCCAGCAAGGCCACACATCCCTTCATATGTTTATTGGCTATTTGGATGTCGTTTTTTATGAAGTATGTCTGCTTAGTTCTTTTGCCCATTATTTAATTGAGTCGTCTTATCTTTTCCTCATTAACTTGTCCTTTCTCATTCCTGAATTGGGTTCTTTGTTGATCACATGCACGGTGAATATCTTCTCCACGTCTGTAGCTCACCTTTTCATTTTCTCCATCCTATCTTGTGAGAACCAGAAATTCTGCATTTTAATGAGGTTTGCCTTATTACTCTCTTCTTTTGGTTAGTGCTTTTGTGTCTTGATAAATCTTGTATATCCCAAGGTCCTGTGTTTTCTTCTAAAAGTGATTGTCTTAGCTGTCACATTTTAAGTCTCCGATCCACCGCAAGTTAATTTTTGTGTGTGGTTGTGAGGTACGGGTCACGACCTACTTTTCTCCCCCCGTATGAGAGTTTAGTTGACCCAGCACCATGTATTGAAAATGCTGTCCTTAATCCACTGAACTGCATTGGACCCTTAGTTGTAAATCACGTGGGCATGTAAGTGGAGGTCTGCCTCTGGACTTTCTTTTCCTTTTTGCCATTTTTTCACATTAATACCGCACTCTGTTAATTATTGAACTTTGTAATAAATCTTGCTATCCGATAAGGGAAATCCTACAGGTTTGTTATTCCTTAGTATTGCCTTGGCTATTTTAGGTTCACTGCATGTTCATCTAAATTTTAGAGACAGCTTGCCACTTTCCAAACACACACACACACACACACACACACTCACACACACTCACACTCACACTCATTCACTCAGAACACCCACTGGCAGTTCTTTTGGCTTCATATTAAGTCAGTAGATGAATCTGGAGAGAACTGACCTCTTAATAATATTGAGTCTTCCAATTTGTGAACACACTATATCCCTCCATTCATTTAAATCTTTAATTTCTCTCATTAATGTTTTAATAGTTTTCAGTGACAAGTCTTGCACATCTTTCATTATATTTATTACCCCAAAGTATTTGATGCTATTGCAAATGGTGTTTATTTTCTACTCATTTTCTCTTAATATGTAGGTATGTGATTGGAATTTTTATATATTGACTTTGTATTCAGCAATCTTGTTAAGTTCACTTATTATCGAATGGTTTATAGATTCTTTTTGATTTATGGTTCATAAAATCAAGTAAATAATAGCGTTTTATATATTTTGTCTTTTCTAATTCCACATATATATATATATATATATTTTTTTTTTGTATCTTACTACACTGGCTGGACGTCTCCAGTACAAAGTTGAATGTAAGTGATGATAGTGGACATTTTTGTCTTATTCCTGACCTCAGGAGGAAATTTTTCAATATTTCACCATTAAGTATGATGTTAGCTGTAGGTTTTTGAGATAGCCTTTGTCAAATTAAGAATACCCCCTTCTATTTCTAGTTTGCCAAGAGTTTTTATCATAACTTCAGGTATTGAATATTATCAGATGAGTTTTCTGCATCAAATGAGATGATCATGTATTTGCTTTTTCTCTTTTAATCTGTCATTATGCTGATTTTCTCTGTTTGTGTTTTTTTATGTTTATTAGTTATCCCGTGTGTGCCACTGGATTTAGTGTACTCATCTTTTGTGTCTGTTTTCATGAGTGATACTGGCTTGTGGGGTTTTTTGTCTTAATGTCCCTGTCAAGTATCTGTAACAAGATAATGTTGGTTTAACAAAATGAAGGGGGTAGAATTTTTCTCTTTTTCTATTTTCTGGAGGATGGGTGGGGTTTCTTCCTTAAATGCTGGGGAGATTTTACTGGTGAGGGCACCTGGGCCCTGGAGTATTTTATATGAGAAGGTTTTTCATTTCTTTAATAGATATGGGACTATTCCCTCATTTTTAAAATTTATATTTATTTATTTTGGGAGAGAGAATGAGCAGGGGAGGAGCAGAGAGAGAGAGAGGGAGAAAGAGAATTCCCAGCAGGCTCTGCAATGTGGGGCTTGAACTCACGAACTGTGAAATCATGACCTGAGCCAAAGTCAAGAGTCAGACGCTTAACTGACTGAGCCACCCAGATGCCCAGACTATTCCTCACTTCTCATGAGTATGTGTATGTGTCTTTCTTCCATTCTCTCTACGTTTTCTTAAGATTCCCTCTTGTTTTCTTCTGAGTATCACATATGTTACCATGTCTTTTTATTTTTTGAGAATGAGTGAATACTGAAATGAGGGTCTGTGATAGAGGAACTCCTAATACATCCTTTTTAAAACATTTTTAGAATTGGATTTCCTTTGATACTAAGTTTCAACTCATTCAAGAGGCCAGCTGAACTCACAATAAATGATTAAAACCAGTTTTGTTACTTATTCTGTGACCGGGATATTTCATCTTTTTTCTGCCCCTTACCGCTCTACTTTTTTAGCATATCTCCTTCAGTACGAAATTGAGAGTGATTTTGCCTTCCCTTTGGGTTTAGTAAGATCAGAAAGGCACACTAGGACGCCATGGAAATGGCACTTGGAATCAAACCAGTCTGGGTTTGTGTACTAGTCTTTCCCTTTGCTTCATTGTGTGACTTTAGGCAGATCCTTGATTTCTCTGAGCCTTGGTTTCCATTTCTGCGAATCAGAGGTCGTGACAAACTCTCCTTTGTATCTCACGGACATAATACGGTGATGAAACGAGCGACATGGGCGAAAGCCCTTTGCTCTCCTCGGAAGTGGCATGTGCGCAGTGAGGGCGGTTGTGATCAGATGGGTGGCTCTTTTGAATTCGTGACGACAGGAACGCGGCTCTTCCTTAACCGGCACAGCTACCTGAAGCCTCTGCTGACGCACAGCGGGCCCCCCCTCACCACCACACTCCCTGCCTGCTGCGGGCCCATCGCGAGGTGCCTGACCAGCCCCCAAGCCTATGAGGTAAGTTGGCTTTATCCCAAAGCTGAGTTCTTCATGAAGTTAAATTCATCTGCTCTGTGGATGGGTCGCCGGTTTGATTTCGCTTTGCCTGCCTTTGAGGTACAGAAGGCACGAGAGGGCCTCAAGTGTAGTTTGCTCAGCCCGAAAAGACACCGAAAGCCGTAGCTCCAATTCACAGTCTTTGAAACACAGATAACCGCGTGTTACCTCATCTTCCTGTCCGTGATTTTAGTAAATAATTCTGTTTCGGTGCTGGTTTTCACGGAGCTGCCATGTGTGTGGCCTGAGCTCGGTACTAGACGTGCTGTGTTTTCCCCCGTGAATTAGAGCAGCCGCAGACGTGGTGAGAGGATTGACGCAGCAGTGTGTCCTGTCCCTCAAGTGCGGCAGATGGCCTCGTACTGCAGACCTGCCAGCTTTCGGGTGTCAGCGAGCGTTTATCTACCCGTGTTGTGCAATGACAGGAGGCGTGAGCGTATCCACGTATAATCTAGATTCCGCACTCCCTTCCTTAGCTGCCAACATACGATTGGTGGTGCGGCAAGTGTTGCAGCACAGAGACAAATGACAAATGCTAACCAGCCTTTATTTGAAAATATGAGCATCTTATTTTTCAAGTTCTTTAAAAAACAACAATAAATCTTTGCTTCTAACTCAGCCCTTCGAAAATAATTGGTGGCATCAAAGTGCCTGCATTAACAAACCCACCGACTTGACCTCTGTGAGGCAACACCGTAGTAGAGAGGCGAGGCAGTGTAGACACGCACCTTCGGCTCCCTACGACCTCCTCCATGGCATGTGGGACACAGAAGGGCTGCCCTCCAGCCTTGTGTTCCGCTCAGTCTGTGTACATTTCTGACAGATGCATTCCAGAGATCTCTGTCCTAATTGGCATGTGATGGTGTGTGTGTGTGTGTGTGTGTGTGACCAGATTTCCCCATTTTTAAGGACACCCACCAGTCCTATGGGATCAGGGCCCACACTAATGACCTCATCTTAGTGTGACCATCTGAAAAGACCCTGTGCCCATATAATGTCACATTCACAGGGACTCAGGGTTAGGATTCTGACATCTTTGGGAGGGATGTAATGTAACCCTTCACAACCATAACACTGCTAATGTTATTTTTCATTGTCCTCAACTACTTTTTTAGTTATAAAAGTTAACATACTTGGGGCCAAATCAAAGCCCCCTCCGCCTCCCACATCCGTCCCCCAGAAGCGGGCTTTATGAAGGATTTGTTGTGTGTACTTCCTGATCTACTTTATCTGCACAAACTTGGACCTGCGCCTGTGGCTTTGTTACCGGTTTACACAAATGAGATCACAATTGCATCGTCCTGCTGCTTGGGTTGTTCACTTAGTGATACATTGTGGCCACCTTTCGATGGCTTCATGAGACCCATCACCTTCTCTTCACTCATGGCTGCGTAGAGGTTGTGCCAGCATTGATGTAATCGGCCGCCTGCAGACAGACCTTTAAGTCGGTTCCTTTCCTTTCTTCGTTATTACAAATGATGTTTATAGTAAACAGTCTTTTTTTTTTTTTTTTTTTTTTTGAGGAAGGCAAGGAGCATTTATTCCTTCCTGCCTCCCCTGTTATGGTAAACATTCTTGTACATATGAGTTTATCCAAGTGTATATAAAGGCATATAAAATAGATTTTAAACGTTAAGTTGCTGGGGCAAAAGGCATTTAAAAATGTGATAGATGGTGCCCCAAACCTCAAACTCAATAAAGACCTTAGAAGGTGCTGAAGAGCCCCGCTGGTGTGTGAAGGCGCACAGAGCTTTGCTGTATCGCTTAGTGAAGGGGTAGACACTGGCCAGACAGCTTTCCAGCTGCATTGGGCAGAAGGGGTCATGGTTGGTGGAATGGATTTGTTTGTTTGTTTAACCTATTTCAAAGAGAGAGAGAGAGAGAGAGCAAGTGAGCAGGGGAGGGTCAGAGAGAGGGAGACACAGAATCCGAAGCAGGCTCCAGGCTCTGAGCTAGCTGTCAGCACAGAACCTGACGCGGGGCTCGAACCCATGAACCATGAGCTCGTGACCTGAGCTGAAGTCAGACACTTCACTGACTGAGCCACCCAGACGACCCATGGGTTTCGATTCACGTATCTTTGAGTAGGCAGATCTCCACCAACAGCAAATTAAAAATGTTTTAAATTTGTGTCTAATAGTCTCCTCAGTCTATCTTAGGCAAATTTAACATTTTCAAACTTAGAAAAAAGCTTAGAAGAGCTGGCTGTATGCTGTTTCTGTCAGCCTATGCACAAGTACATATTTTTATTTACCAAAATGGTGTTATATATATACTTGATTTTCCCCCCTTTAATTAATTATACTTTTTTGGCCACACAAAGTCTCCATTAGAAGCAAGGCTTATTGAGCTGGGAGACAAGTACACAATGAGGGTTCAGCGTATTTGGGGGTTATTCTATTACTAGGCATTGCTAATACAGAAGTAAAAGCTTCACTTTTAGAAATCCACTCAATAATCCATTGAAGTAACATTTGGAGAGTACTCTCTGTGTGCCCTGAGCTGTCAGGTGGCTGGACGGGGGCAGAGACGGGGCTCAGAGGCTAGTATGGGAGGCTAGTGCAGAGCAGACCGGCACACACACGGCGCTGGTCCCCGGGCAGAGGCCGCCGCAGGGAGAGGGCGAAGTACAAGATGCCGGGAGGGCACACACGAGGCACACCTAAGCCCGCTTCGCACGATCAAGGAAGACTTCTCGCAGGAAGGGACTTTGTTTTAAGCTGAGACGGCAGTGATAAGCAGGCCCTAGTCACCGGAAGGAAGACAGAAGAGACGGGAGGTCAGGGAGGCACGAGCGATTGGGGCACCTGTCAGCAGTTTACGTGGCAGGCACGCATTGGTGCGGTTGGAGTGGGTGAAGCAGACGCAGTGGGGCGTGAGGGGCCCAAGTACCAAGGTGTCTTGAAGCGAAGGTAAGGACTGTAGGCTTTTCTCCTGAAGGCGGCAGGCTAGCCCTGAAGGGTTCTAAATAGGGAATCCTTGAAATTTCTTCTGCTGAAAATGTTTCTTGAGTCACACAGCAACTCTTAAGACTTATTTTATTTGCATTTAGAACCAGGAGCAGCTGAAAGACGATGACTCCGATCTTATTCTCAACGATGGTGATATTAGTTTGACGTATGGGGATTCGACTGTGAACACCGAATCAGGAGCATCCGGTGCCCCTAGGAGGTTTATGGGAAATAGTTCTGAAGATGCCTTGGACCGGGAGCTCTCATTTGGGGACCACGAACTGGTCATTCGGGGAACACGCTTGGTTCTTCCCATGGATGATTCTGAACCCCCACTAAATCTGTTAGATAATACGAGACACAGTCCGGCCTAAGCTTACTAATACTCACTTAGTGATTTGTAAAATTTGCACATGTGATTGTGAAGAAATTTGTACTACCTAAAAAGTCCCCGTGCATGTCTCTGAATGTTTAAGCTATATAAATGCTCCTTCTAGAGCATCGAGAGAATATAAATATCCTGTACAAGGCAGATTGTGAACAAACTCTTCTTTTATGTTTCATTGGCTGCACTATGTAGATTGGATCCGTTTTAGAAAAAAGTTATTTTCACAGTGATGTTGTGTGTTCCGTTAGCTTTATGTCTCAGTTAAAGTATAAAAAGTGACAGATGTACTCTTTCTTACACTTGCCCGATACTTAACCAGAGTACCAAGTTCTTGTGTAGTGCATTAATTTTGTTTTGTGGGAGAGGAAAGGGAGTGTTATTTCTGGGGAAGCCCAGGGAGGAGAGGTTCCTTTGTTGGGAAACAAGCACGTGTTCATTGCTCCCGCCTTGGTCGTGACCTTTCTCTTTCCTTTTTCTCCGGTGGCCTGTTGTGGCATCAGAAGCTGACGGTGTTCAGATCTTGCCCCGTTGGTCTTGGGAGTGAAGTGGGGGACGGGGAGGCCCTCCCCTCCCTCCGCTGTGAAAGAACAGATTCACTGACACTGGTGTTTGGAAAAGAAGGGCTACAGATGCCATCCAAGACTTCATTACTTTTCTCCCAGACCCAGACCATGGATAGGAGTTGTGTCGTCCGGCCTGCTGAGCCGAAAGTACAGGTGTACATGGTCCGGGGCACAGGTTCCCATCGGCAGGGGCCGCAGCAGAGCGCAGGAGAGGAGAAGGGAGAGAGGGTCGGTGTTTCGGAGACCTCTCTTCCTGAATGTGTAAATATTCAATACCAGATTAAGTTTAAATAAGAAACTCAGTTGCTGCTTACTTTTTGATCATGAACTTTATCTGTATAGCAAGCGTTGTGGTCACGTGGTTTTATATCAGTTTAAATCGCTGCTCTTTAGCAGCCAAACAGGAGCAAAATGTAAAATTTTTGAACTTACTGTGTCTAATTGTCCTTCGTTAGTCTGTAGTTGATGTTAAAAGTTAATTTATGACTCCACGATCGTCCCCACACTACATCAAAGTCCGTCGTGAAGCGCCGCGCTGGCCTGGAGAGCTGAGCATCAGGACAGCGGCTGCTTTACGTGCACCGGCTGTAGTTATCTTTGTTTTCATGTTACTTTTTAATATGGAATGTCCAAGCTGCCGTGTGTGGGAGTGTGTGTGGTGCGCGGGTGTGTGTGGGTGTGGGGTTTTTTGTTTTGTTTTTTTATAGTTTTCAAGGAAGAGTACGTAGCAACCTCCCATTTCCTATCAAGAGAATGAAAGTCGATTCTATTTTGTAATGCCAGAAACACCCACAGGTGCGTCGAATGCCTAGAAGGGGGTTACCCTCTGATGTTGATCCTGACCTGTTAATGTTTCAGAAGAAAAATAGGAATTTTGTGGGTCTTTCCCCCTTCAGGTCTGAGTAGCATTGCCTTAAATTTTACCCAATTTACAAAATTGATTTGTTTACCTGATGTTAAAATTGTTCAACCAAAAAAAATATCTTTCCAAACAAAATATGTACTCATTCTCCCTGAGGTATCTGTACTGTTGCAAACACTCCTGGAGATGTTAAGGGAATTGTCCTGTCGTGCCCTTGAGTGGCAGCTCTAACTGTTGGCATGGCCATTTGTTACGTAGTGGTAGCGACTTTCCTGCTATGCAGGAACCCCGTGAAGTGTGCGTTTTATATGATGTGTGCCTCTTTGTGCAGTCTCTAATTTCTCGTTAACGTGTGTTTGAGAGGCTTTGAACTTCAGCGTCACTTACCCACCAAGTTATTCGAGTTGTAAAAGGTTATACGAAAAAATTAACAACGACCTTTTTTATTCTGTCAGTTTACTGAGCTCACTTTATGAAAATGGCTGTAAATACTTAGCATGACAAATTCAGTAACTCGTCTCTTTCAGCATGCGTCACACCTTTTCTTAGGGAAACCGATACAGCTTGAGTCACCTGAATCTGCCTTCGTACCGTATCAGGGGGGGACCAGGCCTTCTGTGCTTATGTCAGCATCTGGAAGATTCTCCTCTCCTCTAATCTGTGTGCACATCTCCAAGCAAAGAAGAAAACACAAACTGTGCTCTCATACCCATTGGTTTTAGACACCCGAGTGAACTTGAATGAAGGACAGTCTGAGTTACCATCACACACAAGTAGAGCTGCTCTCGGACTTGCCGTTCTGTTCTTTGTGAGCCCTACACGTTTGAATGACTCCAACATTGCATCTTTTCAAGTTATTTTGTAAGGTTCCTTGGCATTTATCCTCATCTGTGTTTGGCAATGTGCTGTTAAAGAAATAGACTTAATCTGTATGTATTTTTTGTTTTCCCTTGGAGTACTTGGACAGATGTTATCGTGGTTTCTTTTAGGAAAATCTGTCATTAAAAAAAATTATAGCCTTGCAAATAACCAGTCGCCGTATTTGAGTCACCGTTTATTCAAGTGAGAAGTAAAGAGTACTGACTTCATTTATTTTTCTACCTATACACCTACGGGGAAAGTGGGAAAGACAAACAGAACCTACCAGAACATAATCTATGGGGTTGCCAGTTTGGGGGGGGGGGGGTGGCGGCTTATGGGTAAGGCTGGACGTAGTTGCTTATGGTCACGATTGAATCATTTAAGAAATAAGACTCGGAGCAGTCATATTCTGTCACATTGATTTGTAGCCTGTTAGCTTGGTAATGGATAACGTCGCGAAAATGTTAGTTCCATTATTTGGCAAGAGTAGATTCTGTATCTGGTTAGGTAGAAAGGGAGTTTGGTGGCAAGCACGATCACGCAAATCATCCTTTTTCCACGTGAAAGATACGTCTTTCTTTTTGTACATGAGTGGTTTCATAGTTTCGAGTTTATCGACAGCAACTTTGTCTAGTCAAGGCACAAACCACACTAGTACTGTGTTTTGTTGCCAGCTTTCTTCTTCATGGTCCAGTGAGAGACACGCACGGTGGGCCTACACCCCACATCTCTTTTCCAGAACAAACCCATGTTTTCTGATTCACAGATAAAACCCGCCATTTGATTTGGGCAAGTACATTTGTTAACTGGACCCAGTGCAGGAGTGTAAAGAGATGAAAGTAGAGGGGCACCTGGCTGGCTCAGTTGGGAGAGCATGTGACTCTCGATCTCAGGGTCTGGAGTTCAAGCCCCATCTTGGCATTAGAGTTTACGTTAAAAAGAGAGAGAGAGAGAGAGAGAGATGAAGGTATAGATGTTTTTAACATCAGGACATCCTTAATAGGAAGTACCTCGCACAGATTATACAGTAGAAGGTATGAGGCTTGGAGTAAATTGGAAATGATACTAATAGTAGGTCCCAGTTTTTGTGCCCCTCTTTGATATAGGCTATGTGTATACACGGTCTTTTTAAAATTTACATTTTAATGTAATCATTTCTTTTTGAGAGAGCATGAGATGGGGAGGAACAGAGGGAGAAGGAGAGACTGAATCCCAAGCGGGCCCCCACTCCCAACACAGACCCCAACATAGGGCTCTGTCCCACAACCATGAGATCATGACCTGAGCAGAAATCAAGAGTCAGATGCCTAACTGACTGAGCCCCCCCCCCCCACCCGCCAGGCGCCCTCTCATTTCAATTTAATGCTAATCATGCTGTGAGGGTACGTCTTCTTCTTTACATTTCACAGATGTGAAAACTGAGGTGCAGGAAAGTTGCTACACTGCTAGTAAGTGACAGACACAGGACCCCAAACCAGTCTTGAGCCAAAGTCTAGATTGTTAACCATGACTCCAGGTGGCTCCACTGGTGGGCTGTGGGCTAATCCATCTTGAGATCTGGAAGGATGATGCAGGGAGTTGCAGACTTCTGTCCTGCTGCCGGCCACTTGCTTGACACCAGGCCAGGGAAGGGCACGAAGTCTCAGCTGCGTCCCCCTCATTTACTGCACTGTTGGCTGCTGGACATGAGTTACCGTGGTTGGGAAGTTTCTCGAATTCTTAGTGAAGTGCCCTCCTGGGTCTCTTCAAGCCCACAGCTGAGTCAACCTGGCTAGAACCATGCCTTCCCACTCTGCCTTCCACCATTTTCACCAAGGGGGCCCATCTTTTGTGGCGGAGCGTGTGGTCCTAAACAGTAGCTCTGTGCTCACGCAGTTTGGTGTAGTAGAAAAAACCCAGGCTTTGGAGCTACACACACCTGGTTTCAAAGCCAGTCTCTGCTCTTTGCTCACCGTGTCATGTCAGCTCGTTACTTGACTCAGCTGAGCCTTTCTGCTTCCTTAGCTGTAAAGTTAATTCACTCAAGAAATAACTTGAGCGCTTACTTTAGCGACCCACTCCATATCGATCCTTGTTCTCACGGACCATATTCTACAGGAGATGCCAATAGCTATTTCATGGGGCTGTTAGGAATCATTCACGCGAGAAAGACGGATTGCCTCCTGGCAGAGGAGTATGTGTCTTAAACAATCAGCAGATCACATAAGATACAATAGCCATAAAGGCTGTGATGGCAGAGTACAGGAGGCCAGGAGCGGGGGTAGGGAAGCTCTTTCTGATGAGGGTGGAATTTAAGCGAAGACCTGGAAGATAAGCAAGGGGTCAACCAGATGAAGGGGGGTGAGGACACGGAACATTCTGGGCAGAGTGAACAACTCACCACCTATAATTGACCTTTCACACAATATACATCCAATCAAATAGCTATCGATTGACAAACCTGCCATGTACTGTGCTATATACATATAGAGAGGAATGAAATAGACATGGGCTACCCTCATAGCACGTCCGTATCGGTGTGGAAGAGAGTACCCGCCAGTTGTAACAAGGGGCACCTTGAAGCCACACCTGCCCCTGCGACTTCCTCCCCTTCAGGCCTTTCCTGCTGCACCTGCAAGGCGAGTCTGTGGCCTCTGTTCACTTGTAGCCTTTAGACATTTGAAAAGAGGAACTGGTATGTCTTCTGGGTCTTTTTGCCCCCAGGCTAACAGCCCCATTGTCTTCCCATCTTCTGGACATGTACCAGGAGTCTGCGGTTCTAGACGTTTTTCCTGAATGTGCCTGAGACCACACTGGCTTTTTGTTTCAGTGGCCACATATCCCCCATCTTACGAGAAAGTTGAGCCGGCTCCCTGCCCTCACATAGCTTCTATTCCAGTCAAGGAAGGCCAACCATAAATAAATAAACACATAAAATAATTAGAGATTGTGCTAAGTCACAAGGAGGGAATGTGGCAGAGGGCGACGGGTGTGAGGAGGCAGGGGCGGAGTGTGGAAGAGTGGTAGAAAGGGCTGGTTTAGGGTAGACACTCAACAGAGGTGTGTTGTAAAGGAGCAGAATGTCCCCCTGACCTTTACTGAGTTGGATTTGGAAGGCCTCCGTGGTGGAATAGAAGTGATAGGCCAGGGCTGCCTAGAGGGCTCAGTCACTTAAGCATCCGACTTCAGCTCAGGTCATGATCTCACGGCTCATGAGCTTGAGACCCGCGTCAGGCTCCATGCTGAGCTCAGAGCCTGGAGCCTGTTTTGGATTCTGTGTCTCCCTCTTTCTGCTTCTCTCTCTCTCAAAAATAAACATTTTTTTTTTTTTTTAAATAGAAGTGATAGGCCAGAAGCCCAGCCCTGCCTGTCACTGGGCGCTCTTAGGAAGCCACCTAAACCTCTCTGGGCCCGTTTCTTCCTCTACAAAATGATGACAGTTCACTGAGGCAGTAAACATTTACTTAGCTACTGTCCTGTGCCAGCACTGTGGTAGGTACTGGAATCCGACTCCAGCCCCGAGTAGCTGCCAGCCCTGTTCAGAGGATCAGACGAAGTGAGGTACATTGAAATGGTTGGACCAGGATTCAGAAGGCTCTGGAAACGGAGGTTGAGTCCTCCGTAAGGTTTCGCTGATGAGGTGCTATACGAGTAAAATACAGAAAACACTTTCCAGACCATGAGTCTACTCCGGGCTGCTTTCCTTTGAAATCTCCAGTTCAGCAAGTTGGAGGTGTCCCAAGCGGTTGCCACGGTGAAGCCCGAACTCTGGGAACTGCCTTCGCTGGGGCTGTCATGGCTGGAGCCGGAACTTGCTGAGACCTGACAGTTTTTGGACAATTCTGTCTGCCCAGTGAAAGAGTCGCTGTCCTTGTCCACGCCCCATACTGCAATGGTAGCCAGGGAGTTCTGCCCTTGGCATCCACTTGGACACCAGGTCTACTCATTTTCCACTTGGTGCTGTCTGCTGGGCGCTGGGTCCCACTAAAGAGACACAGCTTAATTATGCAAGTTCTTTCTTTTGCAGTGATGCAATAACATGCACTGGAGGCTCAGTGAGCCCTTCTTGGAAGCAAGGTTTAACTGCTCCAGATTTGTTGGAACTGAGGTGGCTCACTGTGTGTTTAAATACTAATCTTACAAAAATTGCTTGAGAAATACTCAATTCTCAAGTTGCTTTGGGAGTCACGAGGCTTTATTGCATGATTTCTTTTTTCATTTGTTCATTTGAATATACAGCTGTGTTCCCGTGTGGACTAGGCAAAAAGCATGTGAGCTGTTTTTTTTGTCTCAAAAATCGGGAAGATTTCTGTCAAATAATGGAAGATGCCTGTTTTGATGTTTTGTTTTGTTTTTTAACCTAGCGCTGGTTTCGTGGGAGAAAGCATGACAATGGCAATTGGACCCTTGACGGTGCTCCACAATTGGTTTTTTAACACTTTCTTGAAATCTCGACAATCAAAGCTCTGTCTTGGAAGGGGAACCAAGACGTTGATATTTAGACATTCCAGCTAACCGATATTGCACTTCCTCCCTTCCAGTCAGCAAACACTGAACATATCATATGGGCTGAGCCCTGCGCCAGGCACTGGCAGTTTTGATCTACAGGCGACCGTGGCCAATTACATAAAAGCATTGCAGTTGTGTGAAAAGTATTAGCGAGGGAATTCAGATGGAATTCCCTCACCCGTTGCTGCTTATGGCAGGCAGACTAATGGTCCCTAAAGATGGCCGCGGGACATCCCGGGAACCTGTGAATGTGTTAGGTTACATGGCAAAGAGAGTCAAGGTTGTACGTGAGAGATGCTAACCAGCTGATCTTGAGATGGGGAGATTATCCTGGGCCCAACCTTATCACACAGGCTCGCAAAACTAGAGACCCTTTCCTGGCTGTGTTCAGAGGAAGAGGTGTGACATCAGAAGCAGGGTCAGAGAGATGCTACGTTGCTGGCTTTGAAAAGAACTTGAGGGCGTTATGCTGAGCGAAATAAGTCAGGCAGAGAAGGACAGCTACCATATGTTTGCACGTATAGGAGGATTAGGAGGAACTTAACGGAGGACCGTGGGGGGAGAAGAAGGGGGAAAATGGGGAGAGGGAGGGAGGCAAACCATGAGAGACTCTTGAATGCCGAGAACAAACTGAGGACTGATGGGGGTGGGGGGAGGGGAAGGGGGTGATGGGCATGGAG